AGACCTCAATAGAAGCATTGTCAGGGCCTGGGCCTGGTCTGGAGTGGGTTGTGGCAGAAACCCAATCATCTATACTACTTATTGTTTCTCAATTGGCAAGAAGTTTTAAAAATCCATAGATAATTAAAGACTAGAATAAATACATAAGTAGGCATATCATGTTCCTATGTTCAGGTGTAAATTTGCAATTCATTGACACACTGGCAAATCATATCAGTTGAAAACAGGAAAATATGTATATCTGAAACTGAGGCTTAAAAAAATAAAAGAATTGGTTCTCAGACACTAACTTTTGCAAATATAGTGAGGGCGGAGGTGTTTTTGTTTTGCTTGTTGAATGTATGTAACCAAATAAACAGTTGTGTACCATCAACCTGGGAAAGGGCCTCCCTACATAAACAAGCATACAAACTCCTATTGCCGCCATGACCATAACACGGGATACACAGTAAAGCAGTGCACATGCAAAGGAACTACTGGTATATTGGATCACATTGTTTTTAAGTATTAGGATTTTATATTTTTTTGGAAAATGGAAATATTAACAAAATGTGCGGCAGACTTTATGATGATGCGGGCGTTGCCTGAGAACCCAAACTTCTTCTTTTTTAGCCTAAATCAGAATCATGCTAACATATTCTGACTATTAGAAACAACAGTGTTTTTTTGTCAACACAGACCTGATAGACCCATGCTTCTCAAATATCAGATTCATCAACCATCAAACTACCATTCTTTTCTATACAACAACATTGGGCAGATCCATCGTCTGGAGGATTCACACTGTTCATAACACATCACAGTTCTACAAAACATTGTGGCTACCATGGTTACTACCAGCTACCAATAAATAAACCATTGTCTTCATACAGTCGCTAGGATACTACACAGGGACTGCATACATTGTCAAGGACCAGAAACTACCCATAAAGCTTGTTACTTGGACATGAAATAAATCTTGCACAAAATAATATTTAATTATCAGGCCACACCAACTAATCTTCTGGCCATGTGGATTTTCTTGGTCATTACACAAGTAGGCAGGAGATAATACAAAAAAAGGTTCATCAGCTGTGACAAATATCACTTGGACCTGTTAATGATTTTACCAATTTTTTATAAGAGTGAGTGAGTAAGTGAGTTGGGTTTAACGCTGCTTTTAACAGTATTCCAGTTACATCACGGCGTGTCAGCTTAATGTGGGAGGAAAGCCCGAAGTGATGCAGGTCTCAGACGTTTACCACTTCGGTGAAACCCACAAGCACGGGTATGGTGCTGACAAACCTAGAAACATAATCAGGGCGATTTGGGATTCGAACCCACAATCATAGGTTTCTGGCGTGCCCAAGGGACGCAACTCTGCACAGCGAATCCCGGCGCCTTCGACGACTGGGCCACCCATACCCCCTTTTGATAAGACATTTAGCATACAATTGAACAGATCTGACACCCTATTATCATACTTGATCAAAAGACAATTTTTTTTAAATATAAATTTTTAAACATATATGCAAACCAAACTGGTATTTTCAGTCGATATCAGCACTTTCTTAGTTTCATACTTTCACTTTAGCGTAAACTGAGGCTACCATTAGGCAAAAAACAAGCTAAGCTAAGCTAAGCTTACTAAGCTATCGTTTTTAGGGGCACTATGACAAAAATGATCCATTTTTACCGTCCTACACTTACAACAACACACAAGTCTTCACACAACATAAAACATGGCTCTGCTACTGCTGTTGTAAATACAGAAGTGCAACTGAACAAAATATTCCCACGAACAAATGGCAGCAGTCTCCTCAAGATATACCTGACATCAAGGGGTCTTTAAAATCATTTGCTATCTAATAATCATAATGTACTAAAAAGTTATATGGACAAAATGAAAATATTGCAAACCTTTCATTTTTGCATTATGTTTTTACATTTAATTCCATATTGGTGATACTTTGGGTGGGTGATTTGATAAAAAATGCAACATAAAAACAACCTATAAACATGATCAAGTGAGTGTTAGTAAGTGAGTTGGGTTAAACGCCGCTTTTAACAGTATTCCAGTTATATCACGGCGTGTCAGCTTAATGTGGGAGGAAAGCCCGAAGTGATGCAGGTCTCAGACGTTTACCACTTCGGTGAAACCCACGAGCACGGGTATGGTGCTGACAAACCTAGAAACATAATCGGGGCAAACCTGGATTCTAACCCACAATCATAGATTTCTGGAGTGCCCAAGGGACGCAACCCCAGACAGCTAATCGCGGCGCCTTAGACGACTGGGCTACCCGTGCCCCCAAACATGATCAATAAATATTAATCATATCTTTCCCTGTAGTTTTATGCTGTATTAAGGTCAAAGCTAATAACAAACACTCACAGTGCAGTTTTGACAAACTCTTGTACAGTACAACACTTCTACCTTTGTGCTTGTGCATATTGTTAGCTAAAATATCCCGCCTACCATAACGTGTGCACGTCTTTTATAACTTCCGTCCAATCATGTTCCCTTGTTGTATATCTTTATAATATTTCAATAAAGTCCCCATAGAACCACAGTTTTGATTGAATGTATTATTCACCCATACATAAACTGCCACATGTGGTATATCTGTTACATACACAAGTCTAATGTGACCTACATCACTCCCATGATGTTTTATGCGTTCATTGTCCCCCACACACATTTATACAGTAACTTAAATGAAGTTAATTTCGTCAAGTGAACTAAATCAGGATTGTGTGAAAATACATGTCTGGAATTATTAGGAAATAGTCTGATGCATATGTACGCAAAACGTGTATCTGAAGCGACTTTGTTTGAGAAAAATGGTATAAGGTGAGTTGGGATGAGGTTTAAAGCCGCTTTGAACAGTATTCCAGTTATATCACTGCATGTCAGCTTGATGTGGGAGGAAAGCCCGAAGTCATCCAGGTGTTAGACGTTTACCACTTCTGTGAAACCAACTAAGGGTGTGGTACTGACAAACCTGGAAACATAATCGAGGCAAATCTTGGACTCGAAGCAACAATCATGTGTCTCCATACTGTTTGTTTGTTGTTTAACTCAGCAATATTACAGCTATATGACGGCGGTCTGTAAGCAATGGAGTCTGAACCAGACAATCCAGTGATTTACATCATGAACATCGCTCCACACAGTTGGGATATGATGACATGCATCAACCAAGTCAGCTAGCCTGACCAACGGATCCCATTAGTCGACTCTTACGACAAGCATTACTCCATACACATGACATGGTACCATCCAGATAACAGTGTAACTGTATGTATCAGTACAGTCAACAGCATTGCTTCTGAATAAACATGTCTGTATGTCTCTTAAAGCTGTACATTAAATAATCTTGACACCTCCTGCAGTTCATATTGCACATTTCCGTCACTGCGCAGTTACCATGGTTACTGACTGATACACTATCAAACAGCTTACAGTATTGTTAAAAAAGATGACTGCTTCATTTACTAAAAAGCCAAAAGGTTTAGTAGCTCACCTAAACTACTGAATATGATCTGCATAAGACTGAAAGATTCAGTGACAGTATAGGCTAGTACACTGGCAGCATCCAAACTAAGGTAATATGTATGCTGACATCTATACACATATACTACCTATCATATGTAGTTAAACGGAAGATAAAAAGTTTCAACTATTTAACTGCTTCATTCGATTGGTTAATGTTTAATGCTTAAAAACTTTCTGCGGCAATGTTTCACGACATCATTGAGATTACCCAAGCATTCTTTCAAAGTTTAAAACAGACACTGGCAATTTTCTAATAATTATTATATTTATATACTTATCATATCTCACAAATTTCCAGTTTCCAGCTTCTAAAAAAATTTCCACCTCAACACATCCCAGCATCACCATGGTCACCTCCCAAACAAATGGGTCTCGCACGTAATCCTGTACATAGCAGCTACACAACCTGATCACATGCCTCCGTGGTGACGTGTTTGATCATTAGAGAATACACTGTGTTTGGGGTTTTTCTCTCAACAAATCCCCTTACTTAGTGCAGCTGTTTTTACACCATGCTGAGGGGAATGGGAAAGAAGAAGGGGAAAGTGTGAGAAAACTTTAAAAATTTAGATTTGGCACACATCACTTCCTTACTGCATATCAAATTAAGCATTAATTTGTTTCTAACACATGCTGATATAGATGACTTGTGAAAAATGAAAACACTATCATGCAAGAAGATTGACATGCAGAAACACTATTGTAGGGGCACACCATCTTCCTGAGGCAAGAGTGTCCACTAGCCTTTTGATCGAGGTCTTGTTTCCACCCTTGCCACATCAAGCCCACTTTCCTTCCTTGGAATAATGCACATATCGATAGTACCAATCAGAGAATGATTCACAAAATCAACATCCACGACTGGTACACCTTCATATGAAAGTGGTCGTCAGCATCTTTGTGAAGTAATACGAGATAAGAACAGCGATCTGATTGGATATCGCGTTTTCATTACAAGGAGCACGACTCGTGATCTACGCGAGGTGGCGCAAGGGTCGAGCCAAGAAAAGTGGCCTTGATGTGGCCTTGATGTGGCCAAGAGTAGAAACTAGGCTTTGATATAGGCTAGTGGACACGCTTGCCTCGGGGAGATTGGGGCACACATGCACAATTCTAACACAGAACACTTTTTAGTTTCTGAGATGTCATAAGTGTAAACATGGGAGGGATGGTGGATAACAGACAATGTGCAAGGACAGAAATTCACATGAACGTTATGTTCAGGTGAGCTTAAAAATGCCCCAGATGATGATAGTTAAATAAAGATTTTCTCAAACAGGAAACTTCAATGGAGCAACAGTAAAATCCAATGGAGAGACTGAGTGAATTTCGGGGAACATCTAGCACATGTCAGTATGGACAGAGATAACTCAGCATCAGCTGATGCTCAATCCTAGCTGTTAATGTTTTATGTTTGAACCTTATTACATACCGCGGTGTGTAAAGAATTAACAAGACATGAAATGATACATATTTTTGAAAAGACTAAATAATGACTGCACAGATCGGAAACATTACTCGGAATAATGCAAGAGACTTGTAAAGACGATTGACATAAAGATAAACAGTCAGATATTGAATAAAATTTTCTTCTCTGCTGTTCCACCCAGTTTCAAGTTCCTGTTCCATGTGGGAAACTGGGGGCTCCTTAATCAGCTTGCCTGAAGGAATGTAGGAGGATGAGGATGCCGAGATCAGTATCATGAGTGTCTTCGCACAGTGAAATATATAGCAACGCTTATCACAATCACCAACAACAGTCCGATGCCTATCAGCAGAATCCGATTCTGTATGATCCTGTAAAACACAATAGACATTTTATGTAAAAAAGTACATGACAAAAGAACAAAATATATGTTCAGTTAAATTTGAAGCTGAGGGTAATTAGGCTTTGAAAATATAACCAGCTGCCTCTTAGATGATATGTGACTTTTTCTAAGAAATGGGCAGATGTGTGTCAGAAGTGTAATTATTAATCTAAAAGCAGAAACAAAAGGCTCCCCTGCAGGAAACCTTTCACAGTTTAAGATTGATTTGTATCCAATAGTCTCAAATACAAGGCTTGCAACACTGAATAAAACATTTGAAGCAAATGTTTTTAGTTTAGGCTAAAAAAATAAAAGTCTTGGTTCTCAGGACCCCCCCGCATCATCATAAAGTCTGAGGCACGTTTTGTTTAATTTCCATTTTCAACAACAACAAAATCCTAATACTTAAAAACAATGCAAAATATAACATAGTTACTTCCCTTTAAATGTGCACTGCTTTACTGCGCATCTCGCATAATGGTGGCAATAGGAGTTGTATGCTTTTTTTCTAGTGATAAAAGGGAGGCCCTTTCCCAGGTTGATGGTACACAACTGTATATTTGGTGACATACTAGTTTGAACAAGGAAAATAAAAAAAAAAAACACTGCCCGTCCGCACTATATCTTTAAAAGTCGTTGCCTGAGAAAAATTATTTTTATCTTTTAAGCCTTAGGCACCATAATATGGTGTTGAAAAAGAGTATTCAAATTATCTGACCCTTTTATTTGTAGAGCAATGCATTATTAAGGGGAGATATTACAGCAGAAGAATTATCTCCCCTTGAGCATGTTGAGCTAAAAATGTACTCCTCGTGTCATACATTGATAATACACTATTAAAAAAAAGTAGGGGATATTTCATTTTGCGATCATACTTGTAACAAATGCAAATGAATACGAGACAAAGTAGTATAGATCCTTACAGAGGAAACATTTCCAGTGAAATTCGGCCCCAAAACACAACAATGGCAACCCCAGGATCTGCATGTGATGCTAGTCATGATCATGGGGGTTGAACACAAGATTTGCACGACTTTGAATTTGAAGGTTATACCCACTGTGGAAGGAAATTTGAAGGTGGAAACATCAGTTTCATTGTTTTGGAACTCAGTTACCAAACGGGTGACATGCACCGACTTACACAAAATGAAAGGTTACGTGCCCTTGGCATGCTACAGGTTGGCACAACACAGACCGTTGTGGAACGGACGATGAACGTTTCAGTCTGTCATAAGCAGATTATAGTCCAGATATTGTGCTACACATTCTGTTACTGATAGACGACGCTCGGGTCGACCAAGGGCGACAACTCATGCACAGGATCGATTTATCCGTACTTTAGCCTTGAGAAATCGTGTCATAACGGCTAATCAGATTAGAGCTCGACTACAAGCAGACACTGGTGTGATGGTGAGTGCCCAGACGATCAGAAATCGACTGCAAAGAGGTCATTTACACGCCCGACGTCCTCGCGTCATTCCATGTTTGAGAGATCATCACATTAGGGCAAGACGCCGTTGGTGTCGGGATCGTCAACACTGGGATAATCGACGTTGGAACAATGTAATGTTTTCAGATGAGTCGAGGTTCACTGTGGACTTTCTGGACATACGTAGGAGGGTGTGGCGTCGACGAAACGAACGTTTCCATGATGTTAACGTCATTAGACATGCTCAATTTGGGGGTGGATCTGTAGTGGTGTGGGGAGGCATCACTGCTGCTTGAAAACGGACTTACATGTTGTTGCCGGACGTGTCACAGGCCAGCACTACCGGGACAACATCTTGGCAGCCCATGTTGTGCCGTTTGCACGTCGTCATGGCCGCCGTTTCATCTTCCAGGATGACAATGCAAGATGTCACAGGGCCAGGATTGTTACAGATTACCTCCAACAGCAGCATATCACCACATTACCATGGCCAGCGCTGAGTCCGGACCTGTCCCCCATCGAGCATGTCTGGGACATGCTTGGACAGCAGTTACGTCAACGTCAACAACGTCCTACCACTGTCCAAGAACTTGGTGCTGCGTTGCAACAGGAGTGGAATAACCGTGACCAAAATTACTTGGGACGCCTCGTAAGGAGTATGCCACGTCGTATCCATGCCTGTCTAGCCAACAGAGGGGGTTTTACCCGTTATTGACTTTGCTTTCATGTCATGGCAACTTTGCTGTTTGACCCTGGGTTTGGTTTTGCCCTTAGTATGGAAAATCTGTGCCTCAGCGGCAGTACCAAAGGTGTGGAATAAATTGACACATGTTCCCTTAATGTCTTTTCGGCATTTGTTTCCTCTTTGGATTCACAATTTCCGTGTCATAAATCTTGCAAATCCAATATGCCCTACTTTTTTTAAATAGTATACAAGAATAAGCATACCTTCGCATCATCCCAGACAGTACACGGGAACTCTTCCCCAGTGTTGTGTTCATCTCCTCGAGCTGCAAGATAACACTCATCAAGTCAATCATGTCCACAGGATCACTTCATTAGCTCCCTTGTCATGGGACAGCAGTTTTAAACGCATTTCCCAAAAAGCTACTGGTTTGTTGAAATGACCAGTAGTTGTATTACACTAAATTAAATCAGACACAAAAGGAATTGTCCATTTTATTCTATTTATCATGTGGTTTGAACTATGTACTCAAAGAACTACTTCAAAATAATGAGTCAAATTTATACCCTATTTCGTGATTTTTGTATTGTCTGCCTCTGACCATGCAAGTCCTCCATAATTTGTGCCCCAATTTGTTCTGAAACAGAAAATATGACACTGTCACATTAAATCATATCTCTTAAAACACACTCATCTGCCCTATGTTCATGATCCCCACGGTTCTTTAGAAAATAATCCCTAGGGTTAGACAACAGTGAGATAAACTAATATCAGGCCAGGTGATAATCCTCTAAACAAGCACAGGGAAAAATTTGGGCACTCACATAGACCCGTGAAGATCCAGGGTAGAAAAGCTCTTTAGCAACCCATGCTTGCCATAAAAGGACACTATGCTTGTCGTAAGAGGTGACTAACTAGATTGGGTGGTCAGGTTTGCTGACTTGGTTGATGCATGTCATCATATTCCAATAGCGAGGATCGATGCTCATGATGTCAATCACTGGATTGTCTGGTCCAGACTTGATTATTTACAGACCGCTGTCATATAGCATGAATATTGCTGAATGAGGCATTAAACAACAAACAAACAACAACAGCCCCACTGTAGTGCTGGCTTCAATTATTACACGATAGTCGCCCTCCCCTTGTATGAGTGGGTGAGTGAATGAGGGTTTCAGGGCCGCGCTCATCAGATGAAAACATGACTGACCTGTTTCCACAGCCGCTCTGTATCCATGGTCCAGTCTGCGCGATGTCCGGTCCAGCCTCTCTGTGTTGTCCAACAGTCTTGCTCTCTGGAAATACACAATAAAATAATGCATTAACATTTACATAGCAAATGCCCAAACTTGCCTGTACACTGTTTGACAAAAACAGGTTCATTTGTGTTGCCTTGATAAGTAAAATCTAGTTTGCAAAGTCAGTGATTGAGATCACTTTGTTTTCTGTATATACACTGTCAGTTCCCACACAGTGAGTGAGTGAGTGAGTGAGTGAGTTGGGTTTAACGCCGCTTTTAACAGTATTCCAGTTATATCAAGGCGTGTCAGCTTAATGTGGGAGGAAAGCCCGAAGTGATGCAGGTCTCAGACGTTTACCACTTCGGTGAAACCCACGAGCACGGGTATGGTGCTGACAAACCTAGAAACATAATCGGGGCGAACCGTGATTCGAACCCACAATCATAGGTTTCTGGCGTGCCCAAGGGACGCAACTCTGCACAGCGAATCGCGGCGCCTTAGACGACTGGGCCACCCGTGCCCCCTGTTCCCACACAGATTCATGTGTCTGTCATTTAGTTGACTGACAACAAATATGTATGCCTCACTGTCATTGGTACTCAAGTTGATTAGGTCGGAGAGATGAATTGGGTATGATAACGTGTCTTGGAATAAAATCTTGACAAGAAAATTTAGAAAAATAATAGGTCTTCACCAACCCATGCTTACCATAAAAGGACACTATGCGACTAACAGGATCGGGTGGTCAGTCTCGCTGACTTGGCTGACGTATGTCATGGCATCCCAATTACGAGGACCAATGCTCATGATGTCAGTCACTGGATTGTCTGGTCCAGACACGATTATTTACAGACCGCCATCATATAGCTGGAATATTGCTGAGTGTGGCGTTAAACAACAAACAAACAAACAAACAAACAAACAAAAGCTAAACAATGTATGTGTGTAAGTTTGAACCGCTCTTCCAAATCCGCGCCATACTTCACATTTGTTTGAAGCGCAGGATGTTTGACAAAAATCTAACTAACATACCTGATCCTCTGAGTCGTGGGTATCATCACCTAGCAACTCGTCTCGATTGGCATCAATGCCAAGTTTAGCCTTTTTCTGGAACAAAATCATAACTGACCTTTATTCTCATTTTATTAGAATCCCTGTCAACAAATATTCTTATTTATACATCACATGATCTATACATGGAACACATAACATTTATCATGTTTACACATAATAATTACATTAACTCACAATTATTTAGAATACATATTCATTGCTAAGGATACATTTTATTAACTGTCTGGAATCCATGAATCTGTCACTGGTGTATCCCACAAAGTACAGTCTGATATGCAGGAGTCTCATAACTTGCATTAACATGCGGTTTTTTTAGTGTGTGAGAACTGGTTAACGCCAAAGTGGGGACAGCAAGGATAGGCTTGACACATTGTGCCCAAATGGGAGATCGAAGCTGGGTCTTAAGCACGACAAGCACATGTCTGAATCACAAGACTACTCCACCCCCCCGTCATCAGTGCTTTGATGTGAGGTGAAATGCAGTTTATTATCAAGATTATTGCACTTATCATGCCATGCATGTGTGAGGTAAGAACCCAGAGCTCCAGATAACTTTTTGAGCAAATGGGTTTTTACTGCAGGGTTTCTATTCTAATTGGGTTATTACATTTTTCATAAGGTTACCAATATTTTTTCACTCATCTATTCATCACTTAATTGTTTTTTTCACAAAATAAGTGAAAATTTTAAGATCTAGAAAAAGAAATAATGATTTAGATGTATATAACTGTTCGAAATATATAGGCTTGGCTCGGAAAGTAAATTAGGCATGCTGAAAAAGCTTCATTGTTTATTTATGCATACTGTTTTTATACATTTGAGTTTTTCATTTCATGCATGTGTCTCTGTACGCTAGTTAATTGAAAGTAATTGGGTTTTGAATATCTTGGGGGTGGGGGGTGGGGTGGGGGTGGTGGTGTGTATTTTACGCAAATACGCTGCTTATCTGTAGCTGTGACCCAGTTGGCTATTACTCCAGATGTCCAAGGTTGCATAATACATTTTCTCCAGAAGTGTTTTTGTCCATACCATATCTTTTTGCAGCTTTAACAGTTCCGTCTTATAGCTCTTGACACGTGTGGAGTATTTCTGTCTCTCTCGAGGATCTTGCTCCTTTACTTCCAATTCCATTTGTTCCAACTGCAAATGAAATCAAAGCAGACATTTGTTATTTACTTTTGTATATAAACAACTGGAGTCCTTAATAATGCAGTCATCAACCATGATCACAATATATTATATTTCCACACTAGACCTTTGTCAAATGTATCATTACTGATCCATAAATTGCAAGACAACACCAACAGAATCTTACCAGTTCCGAAGCTTCATCGAAGAGCTTCTCTGCTTGTCGCACATGTGACTGCTTTTCAGCTACAAATTGAAACATTCATAGCATGAGACAAGGACAATAAAAAAGAAAGGCAATTGTTTCTCTGTTACACTGTTTCTTGGTTTACATTTATTGAAAAATCCTAGTTGGAAGAAGAAAAACTGAAGACATTTCCTAGGCTTAAAAAAATAAAAGAATTGCTTCTCAGGCAATGGCTTTTGAAAATATAGTGTGGGCGGGCGGTGTTTTTTAGGTTGTTGTTCAAACTAGTATGGAACCAAATAAACAGCTGTTTGACCAAATAAACTGTTGTGTACAATCAACCTGGGAAAGGGCCTCCCTACATAAATGTATTCCTTGATGAGTAAAATATGGGACAGTATTTGACTACCGCCGGACTTGGAATATGTTTTTGTTCTTTTAAAAATGGAAAATAAAGGAAACGTGTGACGAACTTTATGAAGATGCGGGCGGCGCCTGAGAACAAAGACTATTCCTTTTTCTAGCCTTATTTGTTTTGTTCTTCAAAAGGATTAACTGAACATATGCTGTAGTTGAAGTAACATTACCATATTCATGATATTACTGAATAATCATTTTCGGGGTGGACACACTTTAAAGGGAAACAACACGTCAACTCTCAGTCGTCTATCCGGCGCCGTTTTAATTAGCCAGATGCCAATAGCGTCAGTGACCCAACAAGCTTGTCTTCGGTCCATTGATCAGGCAACTGGACAACTGGACAACGACCCTTATTTTTCAGTAAATTTGCATTCAATACTACTGCCTTCTAGTCATCCATGTTTCATGGCATAATCCAACACCTGTGAATCTGTCGTCCTTCACTTAATGCTCAGTTAATATAGAATACTAAACGAGCTCCCGCGTAATACCAATTTTATGAAACGAGTGAATAGTTGTGGTATCTAACGAGCGAAAGCGAGTTAGATACCACAACTATTCACGAGTTTCATAAAATTGGTTTTACACGGGAGCGAGTTTAGTATTTTATTTATTACTTGCCATTTATAACGTTTTTAGAATTATACTGTTGAGTATGAACAGGCTGACACCTACACGATCCATGGCATAGTACAATTGAGTTTAACAGAATAATACTTCAAACACGTCAAAAGTTGAAACGTATGAATTTAATACCATACAACGGTCCACCTTTAGAATTCAGGCGTCCGTTCCACAAAATTATCGTAGGGCTTATCGCAACTCACATACTTTAACTTAGACTAACGACTGTCGTTCGCTACAATACGATCTCCTTGTGGAATGGGCCTTGCACCTCAAAGTGTATACAACACGTCACAATACCCGATGACGTAATTTGTGGAATTTTGTTGCAAGATCCATCGGCGAAACAATGCCATGTGACGTCAGCCTAGCAACAAGGTTGCTGGGGTAATCGAGTGTGCATAAGCTCCTCTCAGTGATCTATCATCTCCACACGCAATGTCGTTGAATAAGCCAAGGGATGTTGAGAGTTTTCAATATTTGTTCGTGAAACGTGTTCAGAGAGTACATAAGCACGCGTTTTGGTATTACACAATGTGTAATACAGCTGTATGTTTATTAAACGGGTGATCTCTTCACGGGCAAGTAATAAATGACTTTATTACATGCATAATTACTGGCAGAACTACTCAGGTTACCTGATAAAGACTATGCAATATAAGTCAATAATGTTCACCCCTGCCTCTGAGGGTTGGAAGGATATATAGCAATCAGTGGTTCGCATTTCGCATTTCTTGTGTCTGGGGTAATTATTTAATCTAAGATTGGGTTATAAAATCGGTCTGATGTTGTGAATGTAAAAAATGTTAGGTAATGTGCATGTGACAGCATAGCAAGAGAGGAATGGTCAGTTGAGTTGCTAAAAACATTGATCAAAGGTTTAACCGAAAATATTTTGATTGATTAATAATTGTTATCTTGCATGGTGGATTTGTCAGAAGTAAGTGTTCATAAATGTAGGGTTTACTAAAGCAGGAAGAATACACCCATATCTGGGCGTGAAGTGCCTATGTATATTGTTCAAAGGATAAGCCGATAATATGTTGATCGATTTCTCACTGTTATCTAACCATTGCTAACCCTTGGGATTGTTTTTAAAGAACTGTGGGGATCATGAACATAGTTGTCATGTGTGCTATCGCAGCTGACCAATGAGACATAACACCTATGTGAAACACCTGAACAAACAGTTTCTTTGAACAAAAGTTTCTTTGTACAGCTTCAGATGTATGGGGTAATGTTCCTTTGTGTGGATATTGACGGATACATTCCTCGAACAAGGTAACTGCCTGATATCATACATATTACTTTTGTCGGTTGTAATACGATCTTTGCATTTTATTTTCATTCATTAGATGTAGCAAGAACGGTAACTGATCAATTGTTCCACACGTCATAAAAATATCTGGCAATAATTATCGGATGTTCCAAAGTGAAATGCTTATGGTTATTATTATCTAGTTGCAACTAAAATAATTAACTCTATATTGGAATATATTATTTCTGATAAATTTTTAACTGTGCATAGTATGATGTTGACCAAAAGCTTCACCCTTTCAAGTCGTGCATTAATCAACAACAAAAACATGTCAGTTTGGCTGCAGCTGTTCATTGTATAACCTTTCTTATGATATACAGCTTCTCATTCTTCAATCCTCTCATAGGTTCGTTTTGTCGCTTTGAGAATAGCGCCAAACACAAGTCAAACCTGTCTAAATTAAAGTTCATAATAAGCAAATTCTGAATCTGCGAAGAGAAAGCTAATCCATATTTCAATATTTCAAAGTTGGAGTGTCTTTTCCCTTTAAAGTATTATCACACCTAACTGCTTAACATTGAATAAATATGTTTCAACAAGTTCAATCACAGCCAGGATAGCAAATATTAGACCTCAGGCAGTAGACAGACATGTTATCACTGGGTAGTAAATATTTCAGATCATGCATTGCATCCCTGTCTGGAGAGTGTCCACTATCTGCTAATGGTCGTTATCATTTCTAATAGAAGTAATATTTGTTTACCCATCTACATTTTTCTTATGACAGTCTCAATGTAGGATTCTAAATGGTTATATTTTCACGGTAATCACGAACGAATTTTATTGCATCAAATCATAGTTTAGCATCCAGTTCTGACAGTAAATTGGCACAAACCGGCGTCAAGAAAAGACATCAAAATCAAACGTCATTCGCTCAGATCGGAGTCACAGGTTTTTTTCGCAGAAACAGTGAATACATATTTATGTCACAAAACCCCATAAGCTTGAAACATACCTCCATGGTGACAGGCTATCTGACCGACATGAAATGTAATGTCGGCTGTCACCGTAGAATATTGTTGTTCATAAGACTCCAACAAGCTGGTGGCCATGTTTGTAAATGAGGCAGTAATGTGCGTCTTCCCATACAACTAGTTGTATATGTACTTAGTGGTAATTGTTAACTTACCAATGATAATAGAATACAATCAATGCTAAGAACCAATTTAATAAATTAAGTATATTTGCTCAAAAATGTATATCATACAAAACAATTATAGACAATAAAACTGCGTATATGTTACTCATCATATTGTATGAACGTTTGTTGTGCATGACAGTATTTAGTAATTCTACTTCCTGTCTGTCTCTCTCTTTCCGGTTTCACAAAAACCAAGGTAGATGCATAAACGACATGCTAGTTAAAATCTATCTCCATCTCTATCATTTCATCACATAGTGCCGAATTCAAACAGAAAATGTATTCTTCCGTAGTCAAACAAACGATGTAAATTGTTATTGTAATAAAATATGTAATTTGTAATCAGATAATGACACTTCTGAAACATCGATGTAGAGAAGTTTGCACATGAAAACATGTACCTAACGATGTAAACATTTACACTGAAGTAGAGTCATGCTTTGCTAACATTTTGGCATTGGAGCTTTTGTTATAATTTCATGTTAAAAATGTATCTTCAGCCCATATATTGGTGGGGAAAACCATAGATCTTGTGATTACTGCACCGAAAGGAGTATTAAACTTGATTGCGTGGAGCCCTATCAAAATATATCTCGTACCCTCACAAGTAATATGCCATATATTTCAGTTAGAAAGCTGCATGTAGTACAGTTTATTATCTTCTTGCCCTGTCATTGTGGAAAAGAAATCTACTTCTGATAAAAAGTGTGCAATATAACCAAGTATGAGACGAAAACAATTCCCCATCTCCTATTATTATTTATATATTGGTACCGTTTTGTATTTGGTTTTGTCTTGATAGAAGAGCTTTGAATATGCACACGTTTTGATTGATCTGTTCATGTCAATCATCATTTTGGGAAAGATTTTGCCTGTATCCCCCTCCAAAACTTATATATGCCAACTGATGTTTTGCTAAAGGGCTACAGGTTGAATATTTTGGGGGGCTGCAGCATATATTGGAGGTTTAGAAGTTTGGGGGTGTCATTATTATATGTTTCATACCGTGTCCAATGCATTGCCTCTCAATCCTTTTCATTATATATATTATTGAGTTGGGGGATATGGGCAGAAGACTTACCAAAAGTTGTAAAATATTCTTGTTTGGTTATCTCAATTCCCGATACATCTTATTCATTTTTTTCTTTGACAGATGGCGCAGAGATTAACATTCAGACGCCGTCTTTCATACAACACAAACTCCAACCGCAGAAAAGTGTGAGTTTCTTTGTTATTTGATTAACATCATGCTCATAATCATGATAATCAGGCTTGGCATATTGGCACATAAATCGTGTTGCAATATATCTCAATACGGAGAGAGATATTGCATATGAATTGGGGACCAAATTTTATATAAATATAATGTACTGTTCAAATGGTACTTCTTCATTTGATAAACCAGACTTCAGATTGTGAGATTGGTAGTATGCATAAACAAGACCTATTATGTCATCAGTATGGAATGTTAATGTAAATGGTGTGAAGCCTGTTCGGTTAAGATAGGAACTCAGTCGTCCATGCTAATGCCTGGAGATAGTAGTTATCTAATTTATATATTAATTCCTGTGTGACTGTATTGGAAAATATCAATTCACACGGGTTGTATTGCAATACATATATGGCTGACGGCCGCATTGCAATATACCAGTTACATTGCACAACCCTACTCATAATGGCTGTGTATTTTACCTTTTGAAACATCTGTGTGCAGTGAAAGTGAATATAACTGTGGCACACGATACATATAGGCCTGTAGTGCGAAACATGATACAAAATACATATTTTTGCTTTCTCAACGGAAGAATAACCCTATCTTGCTCTCTGAGTTTTGTGCTGTTAATACACTTGACCATGTTGACGTCTCAGAAGGGATTGAAAATCTTTTGTCAGTTGCAATTACCATTGACTGCTGAAGTCAAACATGTGTGCCCTGTATGTCATATTATTAATAATGGTATACCCAAGCTATTATTTTAACCTGAATTAAATGAAAATGTATTATCAAACTGGAGTCAGTTGGTCTAAAGCGTAGACCTTATCCCAAGGACTGGTAGAATTTCAAACTCTTTAGCCTTTAATTTATCAGTAATGTCACAATGGTCACTATTCAATCTAGCATTTCAGGTTAATGTGCAGCCTTAGAAGTACAATTTGTTTATAACTAGTCCAGAGAAATAGTGTAAACTTTATTTCACTAGTCCTCACAGTTTGCAGCTAGCCCTGATTCAACAAACTACCAGTAGATCATTTACAATTCACACATTAGAAATATTTTCTGACTGCTGCAGAAGACATATCGACTCCAGACTTGACTTACATGTATGATTCAAGTCCTATTGATGCTTGTTGTGAAAGGTGACTATGCTTGTCATAAGCGGCGGCTAACAGTATCAGGTGGTCAGGCTCATTTTTTTGGTTGATCTATGTCATCTTAATCCATTTACATAGATGAATGCTCATGATGTCATTCACTGGGTTGACCGGTTCAGACTCAATTATTTACATACCACCATCATATGGCTGCAATATTGCTGAGTGCGACGTTAAACAACAAACAAACAAAACAAAGCATCCTATTGTACAAGACCACAATGCTAGGTACTTTCGACAAAACTTCATTGTCTAAAAGTCGGTTCAGTTTGTCTTATGAATTCATTACTCTGTTCATGTGATCCATTTCTAACAATTGTGTTTGGTTTATTTTCATTTCCTGCAACTTATCCTGAATTAACAGCTCCAAGACTCCAGGTTAGTTCAGAATCTTTTAAGTCTTTATGTATAAATAATTTGTTTACTTATCAAAACATTTTCATTTCCCATATATATTTGCATCATGAAGTTAATAGATGTGTTATATAAGCTGATGAACTCAGCCTAGTGTCATATAGACCGAAACAATGATGTCCATAGGATTACATTTAATTTTTAAAATCGAATTGTTTACCTTATCATACTTTTGGGTACGGGTCTTTAACGAGTGTTGGGTCAGCAGGGTTCGATTTAGCTATATTAAACATTCACCAGTGCAGCCTATTATTGAAAAATGCAACCTAATATTTATGTCTACCTTCCTTACATGTTTGTCTTGCTCTCATGGGCCTGACGTCATCAAATTGTGGGTACTTTAAGATAATGTACACATTTTCATATACTATCTGTATTAAAAAATCATGTCACAGTCATCCGAGACCTGAGAATTTATATATTAAGACCATTTTATGCTTCTGTGTTTCAACTTGGTAAATTTATGGGACCAGGGTCCAAACTGGTTTTGTTTGGAAGCATTAGAAATTGGCACTAGTGCTATAGTCCTTGCCAAAGTGCCCAATTGTTAAGGTATCACAAGGACTAGTACTAGTAGAATTTTGCTATATGTTATCATCATAAGGACTAGTGGACTAAAACAGTTTCTATCGCTTTTTAGTGCAACTAGGTTTTGATATCATACACCTGGTGCAAATTAAATCAAGTTCCTTAAATCAAGCCCCGGTCAGTTATAAATGGTTTTTTAAATGTCATCACCTTTTTTACAAAATGAAAACAGAATTTGAGGTTCTCTACACTAGTATACAAATTGCACTGTATTTTGTCTATTTCCAGGTGGTAAGCTTGTATACTTGTACCAGAAGAAACTCGGCACCCGTGCTAAATGTGGTGATTGCAAGCAGAAACTACAGGGTGTAAGTATTTGTTGCTAAAGATCAGCACAGTTAACTACTTGTGCATGAACCTTTAATTCATTGACTATAACCTGGTATAATTTCAAGATGCCCTTTTGTTCTCAGTAATCATGTGAAATCACAAATTTTTCAAACAGTTGTCTGTGTGAAGCCGCCTTTATTAGTTGTTGTTTTTTTTATCTGTTTACTGATTGCAATGATGTTTTAGGTGACTGCTGCCCGCCCCCTCCAACTGTCGGCCATGTCCAAAAGACTGAAGACCGTTACAAGGACGTACGGAGGATCTAGGTGCCACAGATGTGTCAGGGAGAGGTGACATTATTTATTATTTATTTGAATGTAGTTACATTAGGTTCTGTGCACTTTGAGGAAATTTCCATGATGGTGGCAGTGTTTGTTGGTATGTTGTTTAATGCTGCTCTCAGCAATATTCCTTGACTGAAAAACATGGAAAACGCATAATAAGCTTTAATTTCGAAAGCGGGAAAGATGTGTTGTTTTGCTCAAGTTCATCCCTGAACACATGGAATGACATTGAAACGTGTATGATGATGTTGTATATGTTATCTCATTCTAAAAAAAAAGATTCCAGAACAAAATTTGATTTTTGTGATCATTTTGCCAAAGATTTAAAAAAAATCAAATGTTTACAAAATGCTTTAGTATACATAAAATTGAAATGAAAGTCTTGCCATGGTTACATTATAACATCAAGGTGTACCTTATTTTACAGGATAGTAAGAGCTTTCCTCATTGAAGAACAGAAGATTGTTGTTCGTGTTCTCAAAGCACAGGAAGCTGCCAAGAAATAGATTGTACCTCCCTGAAAATAAATGTAAAAAAATCCTTGTAGATTGTTCAGTTATTTTTTATACACATGACCTGCGACACGTTGTAGTGGTTGGTTGAATGGAATTTGAGGCTGGGACATTTGGATGAGCCTGCACACGTTGCAGTGGCTGGTTGTTGAAGGGAATGTGAGAGCTGTGACATTTGGATAAGCCTACACACGTTGCAGTGGCTGGTTGTTGAAGGGAATGTGAGGCTGGGACATTTGGATAAGCCTACACATGTTGCAGTGGTTGGTTGTTGTAGGGAATGTGAGGCTGTGGTTTGACACAAATGTCATATTATGGTGTACATAGGTAGCTGACAGTTAAAGGGGTAAACATTTACATCTTGGTCACTTTGGGATGCCCATATTAGCTGACACACCCTTATATAACTGAAATAATGTTCCACTCTGTTGAAATGTTTGGCATGACGGACACTTTAACTATTTGGCAACACCCCCCCCCCCCCCCCCCCCCCCCCCACACACACACACACACACACACACACACACACACAAAAACACAGCCAGAAGCTAAATGCTATAACATCATACAGTCGCCCCATGCCTGATACTTGTGAGTTGCGGAATTTGGGGGTTCGATCCCCGGTTCGCTCCCGCGCCAGGCATAAAGGGACTAAAATAAGCACTGGTCGACTGGGATATACTGTGTCTGAGTGGGGTATTCATGTTAAACTGCATGGTTACTCAGTGGACTAGCACTATGAAATAGCGTTTTCTCTCTCTTAAATAACAAACAAACAATTTGACATTGGTTGATGAGCGTTAGAGAGGCGCAATTTAGAATGTCGATAAAGCGGAAACATTCTTACTGCACACGGTGTGAAACCCCGACCACACCGTAACAATGGAACTATATTTCTGACACAAAAGGTTCTTGATGTCCGGCCAGGAATTTCAGTCTAGGTTTTGACGGAATGAATGAAACCGCAGCTTTCCGGTCTCTTTGTGAATGAGTGAGTGTGGTTTTACGCCGCTTTTAGCAATATTCCAGCAATATCACGGCGGAGGACACCAGAAATGGGCTTCACACATTGTACCCATGTCGGGAATCGAACCCGGGTCTTGTGAACGCTTTAACCACAAGGCTACCCGACCGCCCCCCTCTCTTTTTGATGTATCAGTAATTCACAACGTCCATAAGGCCCCTGTTTTGTTTGTTAGTTGTTTAACGCCGCACTCAACAATATTCCAGCTATATGACGGCGGACTGTAAATAATCGAGTCTGGACCAGACAATCCACTGATTGGCATCATGAGCATCGATCCACGCAATTGGGATCAACGACATGCACCACCAAAGTCGGCGAGTCTGACCACCCGATCACGTTCGTCGCCTTTTACGGCAAGCATAGTCGCCTTTTACGGCAGGCATGGGTTGCTGAAGACCTATTCTACCCCGGATCTTCACGGGTCCTCTTCATACATATAACATAAGCTAGTTTATAAATAGAGGAATACACTTTGATAACAGTAACGATAACGATCCACTTACTTAAATAATACAAATGTCATTTTTGGAATAACACAGACGGCATTGTTGATACATATAATGTCACTACGTCCCAATAGGAGTGACGCCACTACGGATAATTGTTTACGTCATGTCCTTTCAGCCTCACTTTACCGCTTCCAAAATAGTTGATTTCTTTATGGTAAGCCGTTTGTTTTGATATTAAATGTCTATTTGCAGATATCTCGAATTCAGTTCGAGATATCTCTCATGAGTACACGATCCAACAGTTTCAAATCGAGATATTTGAAATTCAATTCGAGATATCTCAAATTCAGTTTCAGACATTTCAAATTCAAGATATCGCCAATTCAATTCAGATCAGAAATAGAGGTTTTGTTTGTTAACGCCGCACTGAAAAATATTCCAGCTATATGACGGCGCTTTTTTTAAAAACAACTTTTTGTCACAAGTTCATAATTTGGAAAGGAAGTTACATCAAATTATATTTTTACAATGTCCTGGTATTTTATTTCAGCCAATCGACATATGTAGCATATAAACACCAAAAAATATTGAACATGTATCTTTGTGTTGTGACAATGTTGACAAATAAATAATGCTTCTGATGAAGGATGAAATGTCAGTATCAGAATATTACGATATGCATAAAAGTATTGCAAGCACGGGAGCTACACTCGTAGCGCCAGCGCAGCATACCCAGGGAACCAGGCTGAGGAGTTTTAAACTTTTATCGACACGTGATGAATGATATATTTGATATCAGAAGAAACTCGGGTGAGATATTCTTATATCTTTAATTCACCTCTGCACGTTTAAATCCATGTTCTTTACGAACCTGGTGTCTGGTTCGTTACACATTTTGATTGAAGTATGCATAGACTCGTTAGTCCAGCCAAAATGCAACTCCGGAATTCCAGCCTACTTCTGCAAGCCCTGTGGGTGGACTCAACTTTAATAATCAGTTAACGCTGTTGCCTCGGAAAGACATCTTCCCGAGGCAACAGAGTTCACTGACTTTAAAAGTCCAGTTTCCACCCTTGCCGAGCTAGGCTGTGATTCCTGGGCTCGATCGTAGCGCCACCAGTGGCTATTACGAGTTATGTCCTTTCTATGCCTCTCCTATTGACCAATCAGATTCAACCTCTCGTATCACTTGCATTTGCTTCAAACAAAACGGTGGCGCCCAGTCAAGACGATCTGATCGATAATCAAGATCTATATTGTGATAAAACGAGTCTTACATCGCGAAGTGCATCAAATCACGTGAGCACCTTGATTGAAAACAGGAAAAGATTTAGAAAATATCTATTGACAACGAGTTAGCTGTGCACATGTTTTCCAAATCCTGCAGTCGACCGAAATCTGCATGACACTTTACGAACCGGATTTTGATTTCGGTGCGCGATTTTGATTGGACTATGCATAGACTCGGTAGTCCAGCCAAAATGTAACTCCATAATACCAGCCTAGTTCGGCAAGGGTAGAAACTGGACTTTTATAGTCAGTTAACTCACTTGCCTCGGGAAGATGCGGGAAGATGATGTCTGATATAGTACAGTATTAATTTAAGATATCTTACAAAATCCATTTTATATCAAAATGGCCAGTTATACTTTTTCATTTCGCTGTGCAGAGTTGCGTCCGTTGGGCATGCCAGAAACCCGTGGCTGTGTCTCCAATCCCGGTTTGCCCCGAGGTTTGTCAGCACCATATCCGTGCATGTTGGTGTCAGCAAAGTGGTAAACGCCTAAGACCTGCACACTTCGGGCTCTCCTTCCATCTTAATCTGACAATTCTGACTGGCATTCTGTTAAAAGCGTCATTAAACCCGACTCATTAACACCTCCCTACAGCGTAAGTGTTGTGGTGGCGCGGACTGACAGGTAGTCCACACGCCGCAATTCGCTGTGCCAGATTTCGACGATCATGGTTTTGATTCCCGGATTCGCTCTAACTATGATTCTTGGTTTGTCAGAGCTCCAGTTTTTCGTCAAATTGGCAAGCGTCTATAACACCTTCATCGCCTTGAGTGTTCTACCCATATACAGCCGATATTAATGAAACAATGTTCAAAGCGGCGTTAAACCCAACGCAATCACTCATAGCCTTTAGCTTTGTTTTTGTTCAGGTGGAACCTAAGTGAGGAGGGTAATTCCGTGTTAAATGTTGTCAATTATTTCTTCAAAAACGAAATTTGGATGACAAACAAATAATTATTTGGTGTTAGTTTAACGCAGCGTTCGATGATTGGTTAAGCCTACCCATGTATCAAGCCAAAAGGCAGACTACCTCACTGTTAAAATATTGAGAAGTACGGTGGCCTATAAGGGACATGGAGTCTTTCACTTACTTTTATCGTTACCTTTTGCAAATTAACACGATTTGTCATACAAATATGTGATAAATCATGTGTAAAGAAGATATTGAATCGCTGAAAAGAGAAACGAAAATGTCAAAAACTAAAATGAAAATGTCAAAAAACAAAAATGAAAATGTCAAAAACAAAAGCGAAAATGTCAAAAACTAAAATGAAAATACAGAAAACTATTTCCACCGCGGTGGAAATATTATCAACGCGGTGGAAATAGTTTTCTGCATGTGGTTTCATTTTTAGTTTTTTACATTTTCGCTTCACATTTCAGCGACTCAATAGCTACTTGAAAGTACATTTTCCATGTTTTCGGTTGTTTTTATACATGATTTATCACATATTTGTATGACAAATTGTGTTAATTTGCAAAAGGTTACGATAAAAGTAAGTGAAACATCAAAATATTGAAAAACAGACTCCATGTCCCTTATGGGCCACCGTAAGAAGGCAAGCATTTCGGGTTACCAGTAACCTGTACATGTTTAATTAACTAGTAAAATACCAGCTAATAATCTGGTACAACATCAGTGAAACCAACACATTACCGGGTAGCCCTTGTGCGTGTGGCCCGTGACGATCCCTGGTTAGAATTATTCCCTTAGCAACCCAAGGTTGTCGTAAGAGGCGACCAACGGGATCGGGAGGTCTGGCTTTGTTGATGCATGTCATGCATGGTATACCAATTGTGTAGATCGATGCTCATGATATCAATCACTGGATTGTCTGGTCCAGACTCGATTATTTACAGACCGCCGTCATGTAGCTGGCATTTTGCTGAGTGCGGCGTTAAACAACAAACAAACAGACCTTGTGCGTGTATATCGACAGGATTATGTACATGTAGCTGTGTAAAATATGTATACAGTAAAATACGGTTATAACGAACACGCTTATAACGAACTGACGGATATAACGAACTTACTTTTTGGTCCTGACTATTTGCTGTAGTTATGCTGTATATATGTTTATAACGAACTACGGTTATAACGAACTAAAATTAGTAGTCCCTTTGAGTTCGTTATAACCGTACTTTACTGTACTGTGTACTCGCGTACATCCGGGTCTTGACGTCAGGCACATAGTGGTGGGTTTGTTAACGCGTTCGCTCGTCACGCAGAAGGCCTGGGTTCGATCACATGGGTACAATGTGACAAGCCCATTGGTGATATACCACCCGGCCCCAACCCCCGTGAAATCGCTTGATTATTGCAAAAAAAAGCTGTGTTAAACTCAACTCACTCATATACGTAGATTGAAGCACAAATTACGGACAAACAGAAGGATTCAAGCTGTTTTTTGTACAGAATGGTGTTGAATGTTGTGAAACAATTTATTGTTGTTAACATCTTTCATGACTCGCATATTAAACACGCATATTATACCGGAAGGATTCGTTTCGTTTTCCAGTTAAACCACGCTTATCATGAGACGTACTCTTCTTTGTGTATTTTCAGATGACGGACTTGAAACAAACTACGTTGGAGATATTGTAACCAAATGAGTAAACGACTTCAGTACTGTGAATGTAAGTGTGTCACTACCACTCATATAACATACGCAGTAAGTTACATTATATTCTCTGCTCGCCGGTACTGCAGGGTCATTCGAGGAGGGGGATGCCGTGAGGTAAGGTGATTATCAAGATTATTGCACATATCCACGTGAATGCATGCGTGCGTTTGTTTGTGTGTGTGTGTGTGTGCGTGCGTGCGTGCGTGCGTGCGTGTGTGCGTGCGTGTGTGTGTGTGTGTGTTGCTACGGCTGCTTGTACACGTCCACAATGGCTTGTAACGCAAAAATTAGCAGTTACGAGACATATGGTCCCAGTTAACCAGTGTGAGTACTGTTGAAGGTGTCAGTACTATAAAGTCCTTATATAGAACTGACACTGGTTGAGACCATACATCTTATTGCTGCTATTTTGGGGCGTTACCAGCCAGAAGGACAGAGGGATATTTCAGTGGAAAGCTCATACTTAGGGGTTATTTACGAAAAGAAGGCCCGTTCAGTCAATGGGATGACCTCACGAGTGTTGTTAGGATACTACAACTTCAGGGACGTGAACGACTTTAAACATGATTTCGAAGTCCTTGCAGTTTCCTTGATTCTACGAATTCAAGGATAGGTACGAGTGTGATGTTACGAGTGCCACTTACTGTATCAGTCAATGACACAACTAACAATGAATGAACCAGGGGAGCGGAAAACCTCCTTGTGACCCTTGACCCAAGTCACATTGTCACGTGTAAAATAAAACACGCGCAGGTCAAGCCCTGAACCTATTGTCCATGTTATGCTGTATTACTAATCGAAGCGCTGAACCTGACACGAAAAGATTCAGAAAGTCGATTCTGATATTGGATGGTTACAAGTGCATCTATTTGACTTCAAAGGTAGGCGGAATACTTTTCTTTTGACATGTTTGTTGTTAGCGACGCATTCAGCACTATTCCAGCCATATGACAGCGGTCTGTTAATAATCAGCCTGATAAAACTTAAGTCAAAACTAAGTTTTTGATAAATACGGCCCCTGATTATCAGGGCCAGTGATTATCAGGGCCGTATTTATCAAAAACTTAGTTTTGACTTAAGTTTTATTTTTGACTTAAATTATTTGATAAATACGGCCCCAGGTCTGACCACCCGATCCCGTTAGGCGTTCTTTCTGAGATGTGCGTAATGAAATGAGTGAGTGAATGTTTTCACGCTACAGTTTGAAACTATACAACTATATTAAATTATCTGAACACAGACTGCTACGATGACCACCTCCGTCTCCATATGTACCCTTGCAGTTGTCGTTCTTCCGAATTATCTTTTTCGTGTGAACGTTTATAACCTTCAATTATGACAATACTATTTTTTCTTTCTGTGAATCTAATTCTATGTTACATCACCTAAATTAATATTTTTTTAAAACGATTGGTAAGTTTTCGGATCATGAAAAATGCATTTGACATAGTTGACTGACAACACTGTTTATAATTATTGAACAATTGTTTATATATTAGTGATGAAGTAAATCTGCCATTGCTTCAAAGATTTATGTGAAATTAAAGATTGAAAACACTGAGGGAATCTTGCTGTGAAAGTTGCTATAACGCCTGTCAGGACTATTTCAATTTTTACGGTGGCCTGTAGATAACCGAGTTGGGGCAAGACAATTGCAAACCAGTGGTTGATATCCATAATAAACGTCCAGCTTTGACAGCGTATATTCAATTAGCCAAGTCACAGAGTCTGACCATTCCACTATTCCAGCCATATGACAGCGGTCTGTTAATAATCAGCCTGATAAAACTTAAGTCAAAACTAAGTTTTTGATAAATACGGCCCCTGATTATCAGGGCCAGTGATTATCAGGGCCGTATTTATCAAAAACTTAGTTTTGACTTAAGTTTTATTTTTGACTTAAATTATTTGATAAATACGGCCCCAGGTCTGACCACCCGGTCCCGTTAGGGGTTCTTTCTGAGACGTGCGTAATGAAATGAGTGAGTGAATGTATATTCAATTAGCCAAGTCACAGAGTCTGACCATCCGTTTCCAATTTAAACTGTTTTTTCGACAAGCATGAGACACTGGGGATTTGATCTGACCCAGAATCCGCACGGACAAGAGTACCTATGGTAAATGCTTGACAAACCATTCATGCTGTCGGGGTACGATAACGCGTACTTTGCTTGGTAACATATTGTGTAATCGATCCTAGCAATTGGGATACGATGACATGCATCAACCATGTCAGCGAACCTGACCACCCGATCCCGTAAGTCGCCTCTTACGACAAGCATAGTCACCTTTTACGGCAAGCATGGGTTGGTGAAGACCTATTCTAAACCGGATCTTCACGGGTATAAGAATTCATGAGAATCTGTTATTTCCGGAAGAAGAATCAACGGGTCCAAAGGGGCGGGTTAGTTCTACTTCCAAAATTAAAAGGTTCGAACTCAATTTCACGTTCGGCAATTTCCGCCAAGACTAGAAAAAAGATTATGCCAGCGTCCTCTGTTGACTTAAGCCATATTATGATTGACAGATAATTTCTCTGTAATTTTGCATAATGAACTATAGTTGCGTCAGTTTTAATTGTTTAAATTTTGTTTGAAATGGGAAGTAAATTCTTGGCTCAGAATCAGGTGCAACAACAATAGCGTGACGTCATCATAATTGTTCAATACATGTACTTAAGATTGAACAACGATATGTATATCACTTTATAAAGGTCCTGTTGTGTGAATTTCCGCATCAGTACGACCAGTGCTTGCCCAGTGGAACACGCGGTTGCACGTTGTTTAGGGACACGTTTAGACCAGTCAGAATAGCCATGTTAAAAGCCAATTTATCAACTCTTCAAATATCATATATTCAAAATATTTCCTATTTGACCTTCAGATGGCTGAGAAACTGTTGAAGAGACACCTTACGTGCTCAATCTGCATGGGAGTATTTACAGACCCGGCTACACTTCAGTGCCAGCACACATTCTGTAAGTCCTGTCTGCTGCAATACCTTCAAACCCAACCACAGACAGGCCACGTCCGATGTCCCACCTGCAGGTCCCTGTCTGAGGTGGACGCCCCGAGTGGGCGTCCTGATCACTGGGTCCGACAGCTGAAACCAAGCTTTGTCATACAAGGGTTGCTTGACGACTTTGGACCAGCAACATTAGGTGAGTCGGTGATTTATGTTTCATGTTATTGATATTATAAAGCTGTATCTCGGAGACATGTAAATTATAGAGGTTGGATCAGATAGACCAGTTGTCCATGCCCACTTTATTCGTCTCTTACGACAAGCCTGTACTCGGGGCCTACTTTTCCCCCTGGTAACACAAGGATATTTTAGCCCGCACACGAAAGCCTGTACCCTCGGTTGAACCCGGATGTAAATGTTATGATAGAAGCTGCATTGATCGAAACGTAATAATCATAGGACTGGTGAAGTGAAAGGGGGTTTAAACATAGCGACCTGCATGCACGTGTGTGTGTGTGTGTGTGTGTGTGTGGTTGCGTGTACTAGTTTTATAGTGCTCGCCCAATTATATACCATGCCGGTGTTTACCCTTTTACATTAATTGCAGACACAATTTCGTCAAGAATTATTGTCGATGTGGACAATGGGCAAACTGCTGCAAGGGTCGTGTACAAACACGATGTGGAAAACGCAATCCTGAGCAATCAAGAACCGCAGCTTGAGGCGAAGGTCAAGGAATTACGGACCTGGAAGTCGTCTGCTCTACTTCACATTATTGACTACAGATGGAAAGCCAAAGAATGTCCGGATTTGAAAGACGTCACCGTTTTGACTGTTGATGACATGAAGGTGACCGTGGTCACGGATATCAACAACAATAGCGCCACGGCAGTTTTCATATCGAAATACAAGCAAATTCAGCAACAACTAAGGTTCAAAAACAGGCCGTGGCAGATTGCTAAAATAAGCGACCGTCGAATTGCAGTGAGTGTTCCTCAGAGTAATGGAATAGTGTTCATAAACTTCAACCCTGATCTTGAAGTAGAATCGTCTATTACGACATGTAAGCAATATTACGCCCTCGCCAGTCTTACTTCACGTCAGCTTGTTGTAAGCACTGCGGGAGGGGAATACTCTGTTGACATTCTAGACATGTCCGGCAATGTTCTGAGATCAATCCAAACCGGTAGGATATATTCCCCAGACTGGATCCACGTCACCAGCAATAGGCACCTGATCGTCAGTCAAGGGAAGGCTGATTCCCTTGTGTCTGTGACCGATGAAGGAGAAGCTATATTCACATACACCCCGACGGGGGACGGGACCCTGCGATGGCCCCAGGCAGTACTGACGTCTTGTACGGGAGATATTTTACTTGTTGATGGTGGTTCCCACAAAGTGGTTCAGCTGACAGAGAGGGGTCAGTTTGTCCGAGACCTTCTCACAGATGACGGATTAGTTGACCCTCGTGGTCTTTGGCTGGACGGAGACTTGCTGTATATCACTCTGCAAGATTGTGTCAAAGTGTTTAGTTTAAAAACGAAGCAGTGTGAAAACCCGGACACCTCCTCTGACAATTTCATTAAAATCAGATCTTAGTTCTCGCTAAACTTTGTTTAGCGGCAGCGAGAACTTAGATCTGATTTTAATGAGATTGCATCCTCTGATAACAAATGATCATTAAAGGCTCTGGACAACTGACAGTCCCAGCAAGATTGATGCAAGTCCCAGACACCAATTAGTTTAACTGCTAACTCAAGGTGTAATGGATAGCCTAGTGTTTAAAGTATTCACTCGTTACGCCAAATGTCCGGGTTCGATTCCCAACATCGATACAATGTGCGACCTTTTCCGTTGTTCCCATCCAGGGACCACAACCAATACCACTATGTGCTGACTTGACACATAGTCCTACTGGTACAAATACCTGGGGCACTGCCGTAGGTAGAACAGTCGTGTAAGTTGTGTCCATTAGGCGAACTAGAAACCCTTGAACGTGGGTATGAATCTCGTTTCTTCAAGCTTATGGTTCTAGGTTCGACTGCACCATATTCGTGTTCGAAGGTTAAACCAAAGTGGAAAACGTCAAAGGTATGTATAGAAAACCTGACACGCCGTGGTTTCACTGAAATAATTATCAAATCGGCATGAAACTCACTCACTCATTTCTCACTATATAACTATTGTATAAAAGCTATATACCTCAAGCTACACGTTGATATTGTCTCTTCCAACCAAGAACCGAGCCCCTGCATAAACAAATACATAAATCAACACCAGCGTCTGTAATACACGCTATCTCGTTGCTAATACGTAATAGTGATAATATTCATTTCTTTGAAAAAATAATTATATGATACTACGTGCAGAAATAGAAATGGAATAAAATGTGTCTATATTTGATTATTTATTTTTCAAACCAGGAGTTTTTCAGAACTTCCAGCATGTCTAGTGAATTATTATTTTTATATATAAAACATGAGGACACATTATTTGGTTACAACAATGTAGGGAAGAGATTTTGGTCAATAAATATCCCCCCAAAGTGTGAACATACCATGTAAAAATAGGCCAAACAATAACCGTACACAAAATACTTTATTGAGGAAATAAGTTATATCAATTCACACGTATCAATAGATAGTTCTTAAGCAACTCACGCTTGCCGTAAAAGGCGACTATGCTTGTCGTAAGAGGCGACTAACGGGATCGGGTGGTCAGGCTCGCTGACTTGGATTATGCATGTCATCGTATCCCAATTGCGTGGATCGATGCTCATGACATCAATCACTGGATTGTCTGCTCCAGACGCGATAATTTACAGACCGCCTTCATACAGTTGGAATATTGCTTAGTGCGGCGATAAACAACAAACAAAATAGTTAAGATAGCATGATCATATCCGATTCCATGATCTTGGTCCAGCTCTTCACTGAATGTGTTTGTGCTTTCTTTGGCTGCAACCTGCATAACACGGCATTGCAAGCATAAATATATTTGGCCTTTAGGTAATTGGCACCCTTCATGAAGCTTTTGATATATTGCATCGTGATTATGGTTCTGAACCAGAACTGGTTTGGTTGAATTGTGCGATCAACTGCCAGACTGGAACGTGATACATGTCATCTTCTGTATCTGCTGGAGTCGCATTTCGGCAAACCTACACTAACGTCAGTATAGAATTACAGAAATGCTAGCCCTGCAGATATTAGAGGATGGAGATATGCCTGGAAGTGTCATGTTGCTTTTGAAACATCGCAAATGATGTATGTATATATATAACAGATAAACTTCGGGACCATATTGAGTGTATACTTATGTGTGTTCGTGTGATCAGCTTGTTTTGTTTTTACTTTCTTTTACATTCCCTAAGAAATAGGGGATATTATATTCGTGTTCATGTCATGCTATGTTTACGACACGAGTGTCTTTTGCTTTACCGGAATTTAGGCAGGAGTGTCGTAAACATAGTATGACATGAACACGAATATAATGTTCTGTTTATTACCGAAGAAGATGTCAATATGACCTTTTTTCACACTTTCGCCATCTTGGATCGAAAACGAGGCTTGGAGAGCATAGCTCCATGCAGTGAGAGTCGCATCAGCTCATAGGGAACAGACAGCATGTTGTGCATTTCACTGATGGACATTTTAAACAAACAAAAAATGGTATCCTCTGTATCTAATACAGAAGATATTTCACATTAAATCATGAGGTCCAACTAAAATATGCCTGTAATACACTGGAATTAGCATTTTGCTGTCAGGATCCCGGAAGTGAATCGAAAGGTGCATTTCGAGATACGTATTTCAGAAATAGATTGTTTTATCATAACCTCGTCGGCATATAGATACAATGTGACAGTACATTCAATGACAGAAGTTTTGTATCGTAAATAAACCGCATAACATGAAACACGTCAGTTTCCTTTTGCAAAATTGCTGTCAATGCGTGGCTTGGCGAACTCTAGATCAAGATTGAGATCATGTTTATTTCACGTTTCATAGTGGTGTTTGCTGCACAACGCACTATCGTTTTGCCATGAGTCCATTTGACAAAAGACACTTTTTCTGCTAAGATTTTCATTTTAACATATTACAATGTTAATTATGAAAATAATTCGTGTGTCAAAATAAATATTCAGAAGGGGTGATAACTCTATTCAGTGTGTACAATGACAGATGATACTTTCAAACATCACTTACTTAACTGATTATTGCCGATTGAGATTGCACCGTGCACGACAAAAGTAATAATGTGTGAACTGTTTAAAATAAGTTAAAGGGAAACTAAAAAATGATAAATATAAATAATGTATGAAATTGAGGAAATATAAGAATTGATACAACTACCAACTTCTTGAACACCCTCACCTAATCCTGTATGATGATAGGTAATTGTATATCAAAAGGAAGCTACTAATACATTTATCCTGAATAGTTTGAAAATGTCTTGATCAGATATGAGTACAGATAAAATAACAAAAGATATAAAGGAATCAACTTCAATTGGTAATCAAGCCAAGATAAAATATATGTATCGGTACAAATTATGTTGATGGAACAATCTGGATTTCTCATATTTAACAAAGAAAAACAAACCAAAATTTTCATATCTTTATTTCTCACAATATAAGTTTTCAAAACTTAACATGGACTGGGTGTCTTTGTCAGTCAAAAGCACCTAATTAAATTCCAGGAGAAAATAATTTTCTTGCTTGTAAACAAATGGTAAAATGTGCTTTTTCAGTGTTCGATAAATATTGGCCATGTTGATTTGTGAGTGAATAAGGCTTTTCACTTCCTCGTCCTATTTAAGTGAAATATGACAGGAAGCACATTTGTTGATTAAATGATTATGGCTTTTCACTTCCTCGTCCTTTGACAGGACGCACATTGTAACCATTGTGTTACTGTCAGCAGAAAGCTCCTCCAGACATCCGTCACCCGATACTAGTACTTCATTGTGTTGACTCGCTGGCCTGAAATGAATAATTCAATAATATTGTAATAATATTCCTACTTCAATAACATTTTTTATAAACAATGCATATTCACCTTCTCTCAAAATATTGCTTATTTAGAAAACAACATTCTTCTGAAATAGGGAAGTTTAAGGAAATTTAATCAAAGTGTGTAACATTACATGCTTCGAACAATCTTGAAGGCATCAATTCATCTGATATGTCGAAAACTCAAACAGAATATTCTTTGTAAACAGTAAACTCAACAGATGCATCAATTTAATGACAGATTACTAAAGCTCTTTATATCAATGTCACACAGAAATTCACTCTTGTTTAAATGAAACACGTTTTGATATTTGCATTACCGGTATGTATTTAATCATGAAATACTTTGTTTAGTCTAACCATGTTGAAAACATACTTTCGCTGGAGTGAAAATCAGGTGAAATATCACGTTTTGTCACACCTACAGTCAGTCTGCCTCATTGACACTATGGTTTTCTGAGTAAGGTCATGAAGATCACAAAGAAAATATAAGACTTGAATTTATTTTGTCAAATGCAATGTTCATCCCTTCATGTGGTTTACTAAAGTTGATATCTTGACTTGAAAATATTAACTTTGTCAGATCACAAGATGAAATATTATTAAACATATTTTATTGTCCAAAAAGACAAAGGGCAGCACTTATTACCGCCTTCTCCCTATATACAGTTATACATAATATTGCATAATGAAAATGAACAATTTACAGTTGAAGCTTCCCATTGTGGAAACATAGTGCGCAGTATATATACAGTGCTCATATGAAGGATATGTACAATGTGCTGGAAAGTGAAGACAGTGTGCATCTCATACATATCCTTATATTATACATTTTAGTGTTGAATATAGATTTAACAATATTAATGAATAACAGTTTGGAAACAATAATATGCTAGCTACTGAATCTGTTAGTCGTTTCTATAAATTTGTGTACAGACAAGAATATTTTTGTATTCAGGAAAACATCTAAGTTTGGATCACCAAAAAGAATACTATGTAGAGTTTTTTGTCCTCCAAGATTATCGATAGCTGTCAGTAATGGCTCCCTAAAATCATCATATAAGGTACATTCGAAGAAGAAATGGAATGAATTTTCACAAGGAGCATGCATACAAGGAGCATGAGATATATTCATGCTATCATCGTTATTTGACAAGGAAAACAAATTTCCTCTATGTATTTATATTTTTTTATTTTTCTCGTTTTGATTGAATTATAAAAAAATATCAAAATGATCACACCACTTGACTTGATTGAAATAAACTAAAGTTCTAAAGATTGTTAACAATAGTAAAATATAACATCATAACAATATAATTATTGCAAAATGACACAGTAAGCACAACTATATTCTTATATATAAATTGATATGATTAATAATCAATAATACATGGCAATTGCTTGCACAAAAGAAATCTTTTTGTTTTAAAAGTTTCAAAACATGTTTGTGGACATAAAACCAGATGGGTTTCACAATTAAACAAAGGGAATTAATGAGTTATGATTGCAATACGCATGGGAATTAAAAATAATTCTTTTTATACTTTAAGTTTTTAGTAATGTCAATATCAATTATTGCATTTGAAATGTTTGAATACAAACTGTTAAAGAGTTATCTGTTTCTGTAAATTATATAAAGATCAAATGTAGATTGAACATTTACTGGACATTAATTAGTTGGGTTTTTGTTCATTTCATGACATGATTAAATTGGTACAGTAAAGTAAATATCATTTTGGTAGAAATATTAATTGTTACCAAAATTGCAGATCAAGCTGTACATTACTTTAAATATTTACACACCCATTATGTAATAATTCAGTTGAAATATTACACCTCATGCTATCTAATCTGTCAACATTGACAATCAAAATAACAACTGTTCACAATCACAACAGCACAAGTAGATCGAGAGGTCTAATATTTTATTGGAATGCATTTGAGTCCATTACAACTTACATCAAATACGCAACTGATGCAAACTTTTGATTTGTTACGATTGTAACTTCTCAGTAGGTTACAATTTGATACATTATATCAACTTATCAATTTAGTTAGTTTCTGACATATATCTAGATATGGTCAAAAGGTCAATATTTCGACTCCAAATACAACCCGCAAAGTTATTTAAACTCACAATAAATAGTTTGGCTTAATGGTGTGTAAACAATGAATTATTCTTTACAAGATTTCAGTAGCATTTGTATTAAGTCTGTTCAGCTACCATAAACTGCACTGGGAGTTACCAGGTGGTCATGGATATTTTAAATTGAAATCACAACAGAACGGCCAGATTCAAATTTATATCGGTAAGGAGACCAGATAACAGTAGAATAGTTTGTCAATAAGAATAATGTTCAATACTTACCGATAAATGTACCGGGATGGTTAAATTGTCACAGTTTGTCCCGATTGCGTGCCTTGTTTCATGTGCTATCCAGCCTTCACCTTCTGCTCTCCAAGCCTCGGTTTCAAACCGGAAGTAGCGAAGTGTGAAAAAGGTCAAAGGACAGCAAGTCGCAACAGCAGCGGAACCACAATATTTGTCGAATTACGTCAACAATGTTGAGCTATGACGTTTCTAGCGTGACGTCATTCCGACCTCACGTCACAATAAGATTCGACTGACGTCTACAATGCTGCCCGGATGACGGAAACAATACACTGTTGTCTCGTGAGGTGATATGACCCTAGGGCACATATGATTTTTATGAGCCCCGTTATGTTTGCCCTCGTAGCTAATATAATATATTTTATGGAGTATGCCATCTTCCCGTGGCAAGAGAGTTAATTGACTTTAAAAGTCCAGTTTCCACCCTTGCCAAACTAGGGTGCGTTGCAAAGCGCCAATCGCTTGTACAATGTACAGCGATTCGCCTTTCAACAGTGCGCTAACTTTCAGCCGCTTGCAAGCGAAACAATCCCTGACTGAGGTTGCTTCGTTCTCAAACCGAAATGGCGGCTTACTTTGACAGCGGAACAAGGAATTCTTGACTGGATCAACGAGAAAATGAGCAAAGATAGCTAACACACCATCATCCTCAGTCTGCTTCACATCTTCAAAGTAGTCATAAATTTCATCAGCTCGTCATCGAGCCTCTTCTATTACGTTCTTCATTACGCGGATGGTCAGGCTCGCTGACTTGGTTGATGCATGTCATCGTATCCCAATTACGTGGATAGATGCTCATGATGTCAATCACTGGATTGTCTGGTCCAGACTCGATTATTTACAAACCGCCGTCATATAGCTGGAAGATTGCTGAGTGCGGCGTTAAACAACAAACAAACAAACGTCAAGGCAACCAACCGGTAGTTGCGCCGCCATTTTGGAAGAGTGCGGAACGCTTCGAACTGCTTGAGACCCCGGGTTGAGCGATGAATTTGCTTTCTCTAAGCGATTCGTGGCTTGCAACGCGCCCCTAGGCTGGAATAACTGGGCTCGATCGTAACGCCACCAGTGGCTATTACTAGTTATGTCCCTTCTAAGCCTCTCCTATGGACCAATCAGATTCAACTTCTCATATCACTTGTGTTTGCTTCACACAAAATGGTGGCGCCGAGTCAGGATGATCTGATCGATAATCAAGATCTATATTGTGATAAAACGGGTCTTACATCGCGAAATTCAGCAAATCACGTGAGCACTTTTATTAAAAACATGAAAAGATTTGGAAAATATCTGCTGACAAGGGGTTGTTTGTGCACATGCTTTGCAAATCCTTCAATCGACCGAAATCTGCACGACAGTTTACGAACCGGATTTCGATTTCGGTGCGCGATTTTGATTGGACTATGCATAGGCTCGTTAGCCCAGTCAGAATGTAACTCCATAATACCAGCCAAGTTCGGCAAGGGTGGAAACCGGACTTTTATAGTCAGTTAACTCTCTTGCGTCGGGAAGATGGGATTATGCTTGATTGTAAAAGTGGCCCTGTCACATTGTGCACATTGAAAGGTTAACGCTGCTTTGAACAGTATTTCAGTTATATAACGGCGTTCTATCACGACAGAGACGCAGGTCTCAACTGCTTACTACCGTGAAAGCCACGAGCACGGGTATGGTGCTACCAAACCATCTTGGATTCGAACCCATGATCATAGGTTTCTGGCAAGTGTGTGGGATCCAACTCGGCACTGCGAATTGCTGTGTGCCTTCCATAAGCCGATTACTGCAAACAAAAAACAAACGAACGAAAAAGCAATCGTTCGCTGAACACAAATGTGATCGTAAGTGTAAGTAGTACCCCTGAAGATCCGGGTTAGAACTGGTCTTCAACAATCCATTCTAGTCGCAAGAGGTGACCATTGCACTCAGCAATATTCCAGCTATACGACGGCGGTCTGTAAATAATCCAGCCTGGACCAGACATTCCCAGTGATTGACATCATGAGCATCGATTAACGTAATTGGGATACGATGACATGCATCAGCGAGCCTGACCACCTGATCCCGTTAGTCGTCTCTTATCATATGCCATCTTCCCGAGGCAAGAGAGTTAACTGACTTTAAAAGTCCAGTTTCCACCCTTGCCGAACTAGGCTGGAATTCCTTGGCTCGATCGTAGCCCACCAGTGGCTATCACCAGTTATGTACCTTCTAAGCCTCTCCTCTGGACCAATCAGATTCCACTTCACGTGTCACTTCACACAAAAGGTGGCGCGCCCAGTCAGGACGATCTGATCGATAATCAAGATCTATATTGTGATAAAATGGGTCTTTCATCGCGAAATGCATCAAATCACGTGTGCACCATGATTAAAAACATGAAACGATTTGGAAAATATCTGCTGACAACGAGTTGGCGGTGCACATGTTTTGCAAATCCTGCAATTGACCGAAATCTGCACGACAGTTTACGAACCGGATTTCGATTTCGGTGCGCGATTTTGATTGGACTATGCATAGACTCGTTAGCCCAGCCAAAATGTAACCCCATAATACCAGCCTAGTTCGGCAAGGGTGGAAACTGGACTTTTAAAGTCAGTTAACTCACTTGCCTCGGGAAGATGACCATATGCATGGGTTGCTGAAGACCTATTCTACCCAGGATCTTCACGGCTCAATAATAGAAGTAATTTTATATGCCGAGGAGTGCGCATGACCATTTCAGTTTTGTAAATTAGTTTTTATTCATAAGGATGAGGGCTCGGGCGGTCTTCTGTATATTATGTAACTCCTTTGATCCCAAAGACTTAATTAATGTGGGGAAGCGGGGGTTCAGGAGCAATTTGCTCTCAATACTAACATCGTATACTGCTCGTGTATTCAAAACATGATGAAGGTACATGTATTCCAATCACGTATTGTTTATGTACGTACTTCGCTAAAGGGGCGGTCGGGTAGCCCAGTGGTTAAAGCGTTCGCTCGTCACGCCGAAGACCCGGGTTCGATACCCGACATGGGTACAATGTGTGAAGCCCATTTCTCGTGTCCCCCGCCGTGATATTGCTGGAATATTGCTAAAAGCGGCGTTAAACTTCTCTCACTCACTTCGCTTAACGTAACCAAACCGTTTTCATAAAATCTGCCTGGCAAAAGAAAGTAATGTACACACATGTTTAGTGGTTGCTAACATGAAACAAACAAGAAATTGTTATTCGATGGTGATGTATTTGAAACGCGTATCATGGTCCTGTTTCTACCTAACTTTGCAGAGTTTCGGGGACTGTTGACAGCCTGGTTACGTTATGCTGACGTTTTTAATTTTTGTTCAAATCCAATTTTCAAGTGTATAAATTCACTTTAATTTGCTCGGCAATTTAGTTGTATTTGAAATAGTGAGCCACGTTCAGTCGGTGAATAACCTAATCAACACGTGATCAGTACAAATATTCAGAATGATCGCAAAAGCGAACAGCATATACTTTTGGGTGTGGAGCAAACATGACTGGTGTGACTATTCTTCTTGGAACAATTGTTATGGTTAGTTTAGACAATGTTTTGGAGTACCAAGGCAGAGCTATAGATAAGCAGCGTATTAGCGCAACCCCCCCCCCCCCCCCCCCCTCCCCCCACCAAAAAATAAATAAAATAATATATATATATATATATATATAGAAAAAATTAAGGAAAATAAAATAAAATAAAATAAAATAAAATAATTAATATAAAAAAAAAAAAAAAATATTTTAAACCCAATTATTTTCAATTACGCGTACATACCCAATGAAGCTTTTTCAGCATGCGTACGATGGAGCTAATTTCCGATACACAATTATTAGCTAATTTACTTTCCGAGTTAAGCCTATATATATTTAGAACAGTTATATACATCTAAAACATTATTTGATTTTTTTTAAATCTTAAAATGTTTACTAATTTTTGGAAAACCCTAATAGAGTGATGAATAGATTAGTGAAGAAATATTAGTTACCCAATGACAAATGTAATATTAACCCACTAATTGTAATTCTAATGTGTGTGCGTGTGTGTGTGTGTGTGTGTATGCGCGCGCGCGTTCGTGTGTGTGTGCGTGTATGTAATTGTATTCTCCAAATAATTTGAGATATCTGCAAATATACCTATTTAGTATAAAAACGACTTGCCATATTATTATTTAAATTAGTGAGAAGCACGTGCGTAATCATGCGTTTACGTGCGTGTTCTACATGCAGCAGTGTTAATGTATGCAAAACCATTTATTTAAATAATCACTGCGCCCGAGCTTGCGTGTCTCTTCTGTTTGACGAGGCTTCTGTCTACCTAAACTAGTACTGGCGCTGCGCTTGCGGCGCGTATCAACAGTAGAACCAGTTGACGCAACTGCTTACCGGAAGGAGAGTAACCTCCCTTAGACCCAACCCGGAAGTGATACCTTGCTGGATCCAAACTTCAGCTGACAAGAGTTCAGTGACATTTAGCGCTGATAATGATCAGAGGGCGGGTCGTTGCTGCCTGATACAGCAAAGGAGGGGAGTTCAACACAAAATGATGTTTATGGTAACTTCTTCATCTTATACTTAAGTGACGTGTCATTTTGCGGTGTTCAATGTTGTCAAATTTCTACAGAGCGTAAGACGCCACATAAGGCTACATTCATGGCATTAGAGAAGCTATTATTGATTTAAACAGGTTTTTTTATCAATGTTATTTATTAATTGTAGAGTCAAGGCTCTGTTGAGTTAGGTAAATTTTTTAATTACACATTAATGAAAACCTGATGATTACACTTCCAAGAGCTAAAATATTCAAGGTTCTAGCTGTAATATTGTCTACTGTTTATGGGTTTATGACTATATACTAAATGTAACACTGTAATGCCTAAATCTTTGAATAACATTGGAAGATATGTTTCTAACTTCGGAGATAACAATTATATGTTTGTTTGCTTATCGTAAAAGGTATAAATTGACGAGGATATGAAGAGGCATGTTTCTTATTCGTTCCCACTTCCAATATTATCGCCATTGTGAATGTTTTCATGATCGATGAATAGTGTTCTCCATTATGTACATTCAGAAGGGTCTGACTGCCACAGCATTTGTATGGTTTATGTCAGAAATGCGTGTATTTACAGGAGTGTGAGTGTAACAATTGTGACTCCTTTGTCATCCGTCAACTTTTAAGTGATGCCTTTGAAACAAAACTTTCGATAGTTGCAACATTCATAGTTAATCAATGATAGAACATACATAATTATCATCAGAAAACTCATTTAGCAACTTATGTGTTGATTATGACAACTTTAGACGTTACTTCCCTTCAGTTTGTTAGTGACAGGGCTGGAAATGGATGACTTTGACATTATCGGCAATAGTTTATTCATTTGTATTATTTCTACTGGTCACTGACCAGCCATTTTTTGTGTCTTAATTCTGAAATATTCTGTTTTCAAAGTTGCCTGTGCCAATAACTTTGAGTTTTGTGAAACTATGAGGATGTAGTTACACTAATCTACGCAACTGTAAATTGCCCCCTACCTGTATATATGCTTGTCAACCACACTCTTTTTCTTGATAACGGTGTTAGAACCTACAACGACATGTCACTCCTAATTGTAATAAGGAAGTTGTTCATCCATATATCTTATCCTTACTTAGTACTCCAACTTCTAAATAACTCTCAAAGAAGTTAGTCACTTATTGTTGATAAGACATGTATTAAACTCCACCTCTGTATACCCTGTCTCGCTACCCCCTGTTGTTACAAGACATAAGGGGGCACGGGTGGCCCAGTCGTCTAAGGCGCCCCGATTCGCTGTGCAGAGTTGCGTCCCTTGGGCATGCCAGAAACCTATGATTGTGGGTTCGAATCCCGGTTCGCCCCGATTATGTTTCTAGGTTTGTCAGCACCATACCCGTGCTCGTGGGTTTCACTGAAGTGGTAAACGTCGGAGACCTGCATCACTTCGGGCTTTCCTCCCACATTAAGCTGACACGCCGCGATATAACTGGAATACTGTTAAAAGCGGCGTAAAAGCCAACTCACTCACTCACTCACTACAAGACATAATTGTCCCCCGTCAGGCTGTGTTGTTCTGTTGGATTACCCCCTCTGCTCATTAGATGCATTGTAAAGCGGCTCATTAAACACAACAACCATTCAATTAGTTTATCTTTCAGGCTTGTCTGCTGTTCAAATACAGATACTGTCATGAAAAACATGCATATAAAACAAATAGGGTACAACAATACATCAGTGCATCATATTTTTTCATGTAATGATAAGATACACGATACATATGTCTCTGTATTGATACAAGACATACACTTGCATTTAATGACCCCTGGCGTTTTTATCAGTCCGATATAGGAACATGAGTTGTAATTAGCGTTTCAAGTTCACTACTAAAAATAGCCATTTCGAACGTGTGTATACAGCTAGCTTTGAACGGGCTCTGAAATATTTGGACTCCACTGTGCTTTAATCATATCATCAGCCACAAATAGACATACTGATTGCCTCATTGTTCGTTGACCGTAGTCAGCTCTCTATCACACCCAGCCCAATCACTACACCTCCATTGTATTGGCTGCTGTCCTGTTAGTCTCATTGGCTTCATCGTTATAGTGCTATCTCTGTACATTAATTATACCTTGTGTAAACATATCCTTCCTGTCTGTCTGTCTGTCTGTATGTCCGTCTGTTTGTCTGTCTGTCTGCGCTATACGCTTTCTCAGTAACCACCTGATGAAGGGCCAAGAAGAAGCCCTGAAATATCTTTACACAAGAATAAAAGAAGTTGTTATCCATAAAAGAATGTCATGTATTCATATTCTTCCAACTTCTAGGGCAATGGGGTAGCCTAGGGCTTAAAGCATTGACTCATCACGTTGAATGCCAGGGTTTGATTCCCCACATGGGTACAATATGGAAGCCCATTTTCAGGTGTAACCCCCCGGGATATTGCTGGAATATTGCTAAAAGCGGCGTAAAACCATACTCACTCACTCACTCTTCCAACTTCTAAATTACTATCAAAGACTGTGAGAAAATGATCTACTCTTCTTACAGAATAACAAGCCTCTGTTGTTACTAAGGATGTGAGGTATTATCAGTATATTGGTAAATCGGTAAATTTAGGCACAGGAACCTCGTTATTAGTCAGTAAATAAAAATATATACCCCCTATGTATGTAGAGACCAATAACGAGTTCCTGTGAATTGAGGTTCATTCTTTCCACGATATGTATCACAGTATCACTTTTTATGCTCGATATATTGGGTGATTTCATTGCAAAATATTGTCATCTAGCGATTTTTATTTAGTACTACATGTAGTTGTACTCAGTTGTGTCTTGTAACAACAAGGGTCCAGGGTTGGTGAGACGCAGATTACATCTATGATGTCATAAACAAATTCAAATTTAATGTCAACTGAAATAGCATTTTAAGCAGAATTATTTTATTAAAAAAAGTCTACTCTGGTGTAAAAATACCCAATAGACTGGCCACAAGGCAGTGACCATACATTGAATATACAGCCGACTGAGATATATACCTGCGGTTCCATTTTTACCAGTTTCTTTGTTTAACTGAAACTTTAAAACACAGACCGCATTCTCGTGTGGTTGGTGATTATAAATTTGAATGTTGTGTTGGGATAGTTTCAGTTTCTGCTTTGTTTGGACAAGATAACCACAAGTGTGATTCATGTTACCCTTTCAGATGTTACCATGGTTACATTGACACATGTACAACATGTATGCTGTTAATGTTGATCGTGTTTGATGAATATAGCTACAAAGAATTTGTAGCACTTATTTCTTGGTCATTTCAAAATCATAAAAACCAGCATCTTTGTCAGAAAATGAGGACGTTGTTAGAAGGAAGTCATTGTGAATTATGTGTTTGATAACCATTAAAGAAATACTGAGTCATGTCAATGATGAGATGTGGCCAAAGGGTTTCATTTTTTAGGTTGGTTGTTCAAATGAGAAATGAAAGGTTTGTTAATTAATTTTGTTTACATATTACATGAATCTTTTATGTATGTTTACAATTTGAAGGCTTTAATTAAAAAGAATGAACTGAAGTATGTTTTTTTTTCCAAAGGCAAAACTTTTCAGATGAAATGATCATGTGTTGTTGTTTATGCAGGTTAGTTTCTCTTCTCTTTCAGGGGCATGGGTGGCGGAGTCGTCTAAGGCGTTGCAGCCTGCTGTACAGAGTTGTGTACCTTGGGCACGCCAGAAACCTATGATTGTGGGTTCAAATCCCGGTTGGCCCCGATTATGTTTCTGGGTTTGTCAGCACCATACCCGTGCTCGTGGTTTTCACCGAAGTGGTTAACGTCGGAGACCTGCATCACTTCGGGCTTTCCTCCCACATTAAGCTGACACGCTGAGATATAACTGTAATGCTGTTTCAAGTGGCTTTAAACACAAATCACTCACTCACTCACTCTCTTCTCTTTCAGAGTGTGAACATGTGACAGCAGCAGGAGAGATGAGGTGCAGCAGCAGCAGCGGCTGTGACATCAACATCAGCAAGATGCCACACCTACTGCGACAAATCTCATCACATACTGACTATAAGAGGTAATTTGGTTCTTGATTTGTTTGCGAAATATTATTTCTTGGTGAAGGATCCACATTTGGGACTCTTCATTCTGATACATCCGGGGTAGAATAGGCCTTCAGCAACCAATGCTTGCCATAAAAGGTGACTATGCTTGTCGTAAGACATCAGGTGGTCGAGCTTGTTGACTTTGTTGATGCATGTCATCGTATCCCAATTGTGTGGATCGATGCTTATGATATCAGTCACTGGATTGTCTGGTCTAGACTCGATTATTTACACACCGGCGCCATATAGGTGGTATATTTGTGTGTGCGGCGTTAAACAACAAACAAACAATCATTCTGATAGAATACATTTTTTGCCATTGTTAAGGAATAGGCTTATAAACATTTCAAATTATGATAATAGCAGGTATTTGGCATGTCAATTCCAGTAAATACAGTAAATAAATTCCAGTAAATCAATGAATGATTGAAACATACTAGGGCTGGGACGAGTCCAAATTTACTACCCGGGTACCCACCCTCCTATTACCTGACCCTACCTGGGTACCCGCTGTAGGTCTCAAGAGATAGGTACAAACTGTCCGATTGGGGAAAGTATGACAGTAGCTCTGGTAAAATGTGTTTAGATACATGTATGAAACGATCTGGTGAATACACTGAAGTTGACTGAAGTTTTATTTTTATTCAAACATGTAAAAGGCAGAAGGAATGGGTGTAGTAGTCAGGACGAACTGCGAACATTAGTGACTTGTAGTTTAAACATAGAGTTTTAGATACTTTTTGTCATTAAACAATCTATCACATGACTAACCATGGGTCTGGGTAGTCCTGTGGGTACCCGAGTCCGACTCAGTACCCACCTGACCCGAGTACTCCGAGTTACCCGTCTCAGCCCAAAAATATACTGATGAGAACATATGATCAATGCTGATGTTTAGACCAATTTCAAAATCTAGTTCATCATATTTTGATTGACTAAACTGATACACCTAGATAATAATATGATACAATTTGACAGTGTTTGGAAGGGATTGAAGACAACTGATAGCCGTTTTGGAGAGTTATGAAAATTAATACATACTTTTACGGACTTCATTTTATGTACCTCAGAGATAAGAATCTTTTGTCCACTCTCCCTACATCGATTGACCAGCTCCTCAGATGACTGCCGGAATATTTATGACATAGAATGTCCAGTGCTTGGTGATTTGGTTGCAGGTTGATGAACAGTCGAGCCAAGCCAGGCCAGGCCTACATTCCCACAGATGTAGAACACATCGCCAATGTTATATCCCACGGGGTAAGTGGTGCTTGTCCAGAGGTATTAAATGGTTGGACTGCCAAGATTTTAGTTTTTTTATATTTTCAAAAAAATTTCCGTCAGAGGTTAGGTAAGGTGAAATGGGGTTTAACGTCGTGTCCAAGATCATTGCACTTATATAGCGACGTGCAGGCACGTGTCTGTCTGTCTGTCTGTCTGTCTGTCTGTCTGTCTGCTTGTAGTCCGGACATAGTCCAGACTGATGCCGATATAGAGTGCAGCGTTAAACAACAAACAAACACTTTCAATTAATCTGACTTTATACATGTTATATATAAAAACTGCAATTATTACATAAACAGTTAATAAGTCTGAAAATGTGACTTCTCAGAAAATTAGTCTAAATGTTTGATGCCAGGTATCTCCATAATAATAAATATGAATTGAAGCGTGTGAATTGTATTTTTGTGTTCCTAAGATACTGTAGTTTTAGAATATAATGAGAAATGAAAATGTGATTTTCTTGTCCATAAGATCCCTTATCTCATGGTCATATATAAAGAATCTGATGATAAAATAGTAGACCTATCTGTGAAGATCCGGGGTAGAATAGGTCTTCAGCAATCCATGCTTGCCATAAAAGGCTACTATGCTTGTTGTAAGAGGCAACTATACGGATCGGGTGGTCAGACTCGCTGACTTGGTTGATGCATGTCATCGTATCCCAATAGCTGGGATCGATGCTCATGACATCAGTCACTGGATTGTCTGCTTCAGACTCGATTATTTACAGACCACCATCGTATAGCTGGAATATTGCTGAGTGCGGCGTCAAACAACAAACAAACGAAACTTAGTAAATCTGCTATGTGAATACTGCCAGGATATTTATCATGAGAAGTTTTGTATTTTCTCCCAGGGGTAGAATAGGTTTTCAGCAACCCATGCTTGCCGTAAAAGAAGACTATGCTTGTCGAAAGAGGCAACTAATGGGATCAGGTGGTCAGGCTCACTGACTTAGTTGGAGCATGTCATCGATCCCAATCGCGTGGACCGATGCTCATGATATCAATCACTGGATTGTCTGGTTCAGACTCGATTATTATCAGACCGCCGTCATATAAATGGAATATTGCTGAGTGCGACGTAAAACAATAAATCAACCAACCCATTGTATTTTCTCTCTGACTTCAAGAGTGCCCTCATTCCTTGTTTTACTGAGCTTTGCTTGCTGCAGTTGGGGATCGTGCCGAGCGTGCTGGGGCTGCTGTGGATGGTGTACCTGTCCACAACGCAGGTGCAGTTGATCATCGCAGTGGTGTACGGCAGCGCCCTGGCCATACTGTTCAGTGTGTCCACCACCTTCCACACTGTCTCCTTCTGTGCCACCAAGTTCAACAGGTAAGGAGGCCTTGTGGGCCCAGTGGTGACTCAGCATAACACCACTGCCACAGGCTAATTTGCGTATCACGTGACCAGACTTTTCTCTTGCTTGTAAACAAACACGCTTTTTCAGAAATCTGTAAAGAACGGACTAATGCAAGTAGTTGGGGGCGCTTTTCATATTGTTTTGCATAACTATATAGATATGCTACTACAACTGTGACAGTGAGTTGCATGACAATATATACTTATACATCAAAGTGACCGTATCGCTAGCTCTCCGTTGGGCTTCGATGACAGCACGTGGAGCCGTACAACCAATGTAAACAGAGGATAAAGTTCTACGCAAAAACAAGTAGATGTTCACGTATAAGGATACTTTCTTAATGAACCGTAACCATTCTTTGACATTTGTTTATGAAAATGTGTAGACTTGTCAAACATGAAACGGATGAAAAGCATATGCAATATCTTGAATGGACTGTGAAAGATGTGACGAATCGTCACATGTCACTGGCCTGTGGCAGAGGTAGTATGCTGGTTGGCTGCCGGCCGCATGAGACTCTGGGTAGGAGAGTGGGGAGTCTCCAGTGATTCACCAAGACATAGGTCTGTTTAACATATGCAGAGATGCCAACCAATATGCTTTTGAGCAAAAACTATGTTATTCTGCTTATCCTCCCCAATTACAATTTTTGACATTTTTTCCCTAATTATTTACATGTATAAAATATCCCGGAGAGCAAATTGTTAATACACTGATCACGTGAAGCATTCTACAGGGAACCTATTGCATGTGCACCGATATTTCTAAGGAACTCCAAACGCGACATTGTCTTTAAGCAAAACAGTTAATATTGTCACATGATCAATTGTATGAATGTGTGGAGCTTTGATCACGTGTTTCGCCATGAATGCAGTTTCTCAAAGGCCATTTTTTGTCGCCTCGCTAAAATAACAGGTGGTATAGGGGGCTGGGCCCAACACAATAGCTTGAATAAAATGCGTTCGAACATGATTTCTAATATAAAATTACCGAAGTTATTCAAAATACGTGTTTGTTTGAGTGGAAAGTCGATGGTTCAGTCCCTGGCTGCATCATATCTAAAGACATAAAAAGATGGTACTTGTTGTTACCTTTCCTGTGCTCGGCATTTAGGGGATAAAACAAGGACTGGTCGGCTCGGGGTCAGTATACTCTGTCTGAGTGGAGTATCCATGTTAAAACTGTGGCATGGTATCGCAGTGGGAAAGCACTATTAAACTGGCATTGGTTTGGACTTATCTTGCAGCCACACACACACGCACGTCACTATTTCAGTGTAATCTGTATTTCAGTAATGAAAATGATGTAAAAATGGAAGTAGACCTTTGGCCCTTTTACATGAGATCACCTAAGGGAACATGTTTTAAAATTTTATTGATATTTAGACAACCAACCTTACTGTTTGGGAATAAATATCTGAAAACCAAGTGATTATAAAAACAAAAAACATATTGTTAGACGAACTTCCAAATTGCAACTTAAATTTCAATTTTAGATAAACGGTATACCATGACGTCAACCATGACTTACGACAGTCGTAGTGCTCGGTTTCTCTGATTTTTCTTCTTTGCATTCCGTTTATCAGGGTAGCGCTGTACAAAGTGATCTTTGCGCTAAGGTGATCGTAACTCCCATACGTCAACCATGACTTACGACAGTCGTAGTGCTCGGTTTCTCTGATTTTTCTTCTTTGCGTTCTGTTTACCAGGGTAGCACTGTACAAAGTGATCTTTGCGCTAAGGTGATCATAACTCCCATACGTCAACCTTGACGTACGACAGTCGTAGTGCTCGGTTTCTCTGATTTTTCTTCTTTGCGTTCTGTTTACCAGGGTAGCACTGTACAAAGTGATCTTTGCACTAAGGTGATCGTAACTCCCATACGTCAACCTTGACTTACGACAGTTGTAGTGCTCGGTTTCTCTGATTTTTCTTCTTTGCATTCCGTTTACCAGGGTAGCACTGTACAAAGTGATCTTTGCGCTAAGGTGATCGTAACTCCCATACGTCAACCATGACTTACGACAGTCGTAGTGCTCAGTTTCTCTGATTTTTCTTCTTTGCATTCTGGTAATTTCGTACACAGACACCCAGCCTCGGTTTCTCTGAAATTTCAACAATTGAAGTCTGTCTTCTGCTGTTGGTTCAAGATGAGATTACCTGATACTGAATTCTTAAATAAAACCACCACATGTCTGAAATCATATATTGCTTATCTCCTTCAGAAACACATCTCGATCTACTTCCCTTTCAGCTCAATCAAGAACTTCTTCCATATTGGTGATCGTGCAGTCATCTATGTCTTCATTGCTGCTTCCTACACCCCATGGTGAGTTCTGCCTCCGTGGTCAAGTTGGGATGGGATAGTGGGCAGTGTCACAGACCTGGGTTTAATTCCACACATGCACCAAGGGTTTTGCAGCTCTTCTCTGTAGAGGCACAATTGTGTCTTGTTCAAAAGTGGAGTTAAACCCAACTCACTCACTCACTCTGATTTTCAAGATATGGCAAGAATTGATTAAGTAAGACTCTTAAACACATGTTTGAAATAGACCTCTCAACTTTTGATAGGGACATGTCTGTTATTTCTTTATATCAAGGTGCTCACTTGATTTGATGCACTTTGCGAAGTTAAACTTGTTTTATCAAAATATAGATTTTGATTATCGATCAGATCATCTTGTTGGCACTGCCATTTTGTTTGAAGCAGATGCAAGTGTCATGAGAGGTGGAATCTGATTGGTCAATAGTAGGGACATGGAAGGGACATAACTCGTAATAGCCACTGGTGGCGCTATGATCGAGCCAAGAAACTCCAGTCTTGGTGGGCATGGGTGGAAACTGGACTTTTACAGTCAATTAACTCCCTTGCCTCGGGAACATGAGGTTCATAAATTTTGTGGTCAAATCTACGTATGATATCATATTGACCATTGAGAAATATCTACAGTGAAATCAATTATACGTCATAATTGAAACTGTAAACAGCAGGATGCAGTGATCGTGTGAACTTTCATTCACCTACCTTCACCTCAAAGAAATACCAAATATGTACAACAATGTCGACTTATGACATCACTACCGGTAACTGGCTTTTACTTTTACAAAATGGCGTTTTCACTGACATCAGAATGCAGGATTTTTGGTTGATTTAGGGATCGTATCTACAAAAATGTGATGTTAGTAATCAGATACATTCTGTTATTTGTTTTTATGTTTTTCATTGTAACCAAGAGAAATAGTCCGGAATTCCGATAAATACTGTTGTCGTTGCATGATTTTGCGTCAGTCATGGCATCAAGCAGGATGGAAACTTTGACAATTTCTGTTGAATTTACCAAATCATTGCAATGTATTTATTTTTAATTCCATAATACCTTGCCATGATTCTCTTCCAATGTATGTTGAGCCAATGTATGCAACGGAAATAGAAGAATGGATAGCTCAAAATAGGAGCGAGTGCTACGCAGTGTAAAATCTGAATTTTGCTTTGTTTATATTTCAAACAAGTGCTGTTTTCCGAGCACATCATTTGTTTTCATACTTAATTTATTTCACTTGATTCCGTCCATTTGTCATTTGATTCTAAAATGTGTGAGGATCTGGCATCCAGGGGGTTAAATGAAAAGTAAAAAGTAAAATACAGTTTACACCCTTGCCGATCTAGGCTGGAATTTCCAGGCTCAATCGCAGTGCCACCAGTGGCTATTACGAGTTATGTCCCTTCTCTGTCCCTCCTGTCAACAATCAGATCTTTCCTCTCATATCACTTGCATTTGCTTCAAACAAAATGATGGCACCCAGTCAAGACGATCTGATCGATCGATCAAAATCTATTTTTTTATAAAACAGTTCTTCAGCTAGGGCTGAAACTGGACTTACGTAGTCAGTTGACACCTTTGCATCGGAAAGATGAGATAAGAGTAAATTCTTTTCTATCTGTTCGTTTATTTGAATGAAAAGCCACCAAATCACACATACATACAATGCATAGAGTTAAATATATAGTATAACACATATTTTGCAGTTAATAAAACGGATAATAATAAGTCCTGATGAAAGTAAACATTTAGTTCTTATCTTAACTACAATTTCTTCCATGTCACCGTGGCAGAAGACTACATTCGCTAGCCTTTGGTGCAGACTTTGTGGGTTCGAATCCCACTGGCGACACGTTTTCATGAATTTGTTCTTTCATCAAGGTAATTGACAGGGAAAAAAATGAAGTTTCGTCATTGCCAAGTGGTGTTTAACTGACAATTCAGTTACCGGTAGTTAATGTATGGTCAAAAACAAAGGAGCCATGGTTTAAATGGTAGTTTGATAAATATGGCTTTACCATTGGCCTATTAGCTTGTAAGATACATTTAAATGGGGATTGGGTGATCACAATGGCTTCTAGCTATACGCAGAAGGAGGGATGTTACCAAGACTACCCTCGAACCCTGTCAGCCACTGTTTGTATGTTCCACACTGACCGCCGTGTGCCCTGTGTGCCCTGTGTGTAGGTTGGCCCTGAAGGACCTGGGCTGGTGGGGGCATCATCTCATCCTGCTCATCTGGTCCCTGGCAGCCTTCGGCATCACCTACCAGTACATCTACCATGAACAGTGAGTAGTGTGTCTGTACCATGAACAGTGAGTAGTGACATGAACAATGAGTAGTGCCATGAACAGTGAGTAGTGACATGAACAGTGAGTAGTGACATGAACAGTGAGTAGTGCCATGAACAGTGAGTAGTGCCATGAACAGTGAGTAGTGACATGAACAGTGAGTAGTGCCATGAACAGTGAGTAGTGACATGAACAATGTATTGACATGAACAGTGAGTAGTGACATGAACAGTGAGTAGTGCCATGAACAGTGAGTAGTGACATGAACAGTGAGTAGTGACATGAACAATGTATTGACATGAACAGTGAGTAGTGACATGAACAGTGAGTAGTGACATGAACAGTGAGTAGTGACATGAACAGTGAGTAGTGTGTATGTACCATGAACAGTGAGTAGTGACATGAACAGTGAGTAGTGCCATGAACAGTGAGTAGTGCCATGAACACTGAGTAGTGTGTCTGTGCCATGAACAGTGAGTAGTGCCATGAACAGTGAGTAGTGCCATGAACAGTGAGTAGTGCCATGAACAGTGAGTAGTGCCATGAACAGTGAGGAGTGTGTCTGTACCATGAACAGTGAGTAGTGCCATGAACAGTGAGTAGTGCCATGAACAGTGAGTAGTGCCATGAACACTGAGTAGTGTGTCTGTACCATGAACAGTGAGTAGTGCCATGAACAGTGAGTAGTGCCATGAACAGTGAGTAGTGCCATGAACAGTGAGTAGTGCCATGAACAGTGAGGAGTGTGTCTGTACCATGAACAGTGAGTAGTGCCATGAACAGTGAGTAGTGCCATGAACAGTGAGTAGCCCCATGAACAGTGAGTAGTGACATGAACTGTTCATGGCACTACTGTGAACAGTGTTCTTTGTGTGGTCTCTGAAGCAGGCTGCTTTGTGGACGCCCCTGTGAAGAGACTGTATCAGTGTTGTGTGTGAAAAGACTGTGTCCGTGTTGTGTGTGTGAAGTGACTGTGTCGGTGTTGTGTGAGTGAAGAGACTGTGTCAGTGTTGTGTGTGTGGAGAGACTGTGTCAGTGTTGTGTGTGTGGAGAGACTGTGTCAGTGTTGTGTGTGAAGAGACCGTATCAGTGTTGTGTGTGAAGAGACTGTGTCAGTGTTGTGTGTGTGGAGAGACTGTGTCAGTGTTGTGTGTGTGGAGAGACTGTGTCAGTGTTGTGTGTGTGGAGAGACTGTGTCAGTGTTGTGTGTGTGGAGAGACTGTGTCAGTGTTGTGTGTGTGGAGAGACTGTCAGTGTTGTGTGTGAAGAGAATGTGTCAGTGTTGTGTGTGTGAAGAGACTGTGTCAATGTTGTGTGTGGAGAGACTGTGTCAGTGTTGTGTGTGCAGAGAGACTGTCAGTGTTGTGTGTGAAGAGACTGTGTCAGTGTTGTGTGTGAAGAGACTGTGTCAGTGTTGTGTGTGGAGAGACTGTGTCAGTGTTGTGTGTGAAGAGACTGTGTCAGTGTTGTGTGTGGAGAGAGACTGTGTCAGTGTTGTGTGTGAAGAGACTGTGTCAGTGTTGTGTGTGAAGAGACCGTGTCAGTGTTGTGTGTGTGGAGAGACTGTGTCAGTGTTGTGTGTGGAGAGACTGTCAGTGTTGTGTGTGAAGAGACTGTGTCAGTGTTGTGTGTGTGAAGAGACTGTGTCAGTGTTGCGTGTGTGAAGAGACTGTGTCAGTGTTGTGTGTGGAGAGACTGTGTCAGTGTTGTGTGTGGAGAGACTGTGTCAGTGTTGTGTGTGTGGAGAGACTGTGTTAGTGTTGTGTGTGAAGAGACTGTGTCAGTGTTGTGTGTGGAGAGACTGTGTCAGTGTTGTGTGTGTGGAGAGACTGTGTCAGTGTTGTGTGTGGAGAGACTGTGTCAGTGTTGTGTGTGGAGAGACTGTCAGTGTTGTGTGTGAAGAGACTGTGTCAGTGTTGTGTGTGTGAAGAGACTGTGTCAGTGTTGGGTGTGTGAAGAGACTGTGTCAGTGTTGTGTGTGGAGAGACTGTGTCAGTGTTGTGTGTGGAGAGACTGTGTCAGTGTTGTGTGTGTGGAGAGACTGTGTTAGTGTTGTGTGTGAAGAGACTGTGTCAGTGTTGTGTGTGGAGAGACTGTGTCAGTGTTGTGTGTGTGGAGAGACTGTGTCAGTGTTGTGTGTGAAGAGACTGTGTCAGTGTTGTGTGTGAAGAGACTGTGTCAGTGTTGTGTGTGTGTGGAGAGACTGTGTCAGTGTTGTGTGTGAAGAGACTGTGTCATGGTTGTGTGTGAAGAGACTGTGTCAGCGTTGTGTGTGGAGAGACTGTGTCAGTGTTGTGTGAGTGAAGAGACTGTGTCAGTGTTGTGTGTGTGGAGAGACTGTGTCAGTGTTGTGTGTGGAGAGCCTGTGTCAGTGTTGTGTATGAAGAGACTGTGTCAGTGTTGTGTGAGTGAAGAGACTGTGTCAGTGTTGTGTGTGTGGAGAGACTGTGTCAGTGTTGTGTGTGGAGAGACTGTGTCAGTGTTGTGTGTGGAGAGCCTGTGTCAGTGTTGTGTATGAAGAGACTGTGTCAGTGTTGTGTGTGTGGAGAGACTATGTCAGTGTTGTGTGTGAAGAGACTGTGTCAATGTTGTGTATGAAGAGACTGTCAGTGTTGTGTGTGAAGAGACTGTGTCAGTGTTGTGTGTGAAGAGACTGTGTCAGTGTTGTGTGTGTGGAGAGACTATGTCAGTGTTGTGTGTGCAGAGAGACTGTGTCAGTGTTGTGTGTGAAGAGACTGTGTCAGTGTTGTGTGTGTGAAGAGACTGTGTCAGTGTTGTGTGTGGAGAGACTATGTCAGTGTTGTGTGTGTGGAGAGACTGTGTCAGTGTTGTGTGTGGAGAGACTGTGTCAGTGTTGTGTGTGAAGAGACTGTGTCAGTGTTATTTGTGTGAAGAGACTGTGTCAGTGTTGTGTATGAAGAGACTGTGTCAGTGTTGTGTGTGAAGAGACTGTGTCAGTGTTGTGTGTGAAGAGACTGTGTCAGTGTTGTGTGTGAAGAGACTGTGTCAGTGTTGTGTGAGTGAAGAGACTGTGTCAGTGTTGTGTGTGTGGAGAGACTGTGTCAGTGTTGTGTGTGGAGAGAGACTGTGTCAGTGTTGTGTGTGTGGAGAGACTGTGTCAGTGTTGTGTGTGTGAAGAGCCTGTGTCAGTGTTGTGTGTGTGGAGAGACTGTGTCAGTGTTGTGTGTGTGGAGAGACTGTGTCAGTGTTGTGTGTGGAGAGAGACTGTGTCAGTGTTGTGTGTGTGGAGAGACTGTGTCAGTGTTGTGTGTGGAGAGAGACTGTGTCAGTGTTGTGTGTGTGAAGAGACTGTGTCAGTGTTGTGTGTGAAGAGACTGTGTCAGTGTTGTGTGTGAAGAGACTGTGTCAGTGTTGTGTTTGTGGAGAGACCGTGTCAGTGTTGTGTGTGTGGAGAGACTGTGTCAGTGTTGTGTGTGGAGAGACTGTGTCAGTGTTGTGTGTGTGGAGAGACTGTGTCGGTGTTGTGTGTGTGGAGAGACTGTGTCAGTGTTGTGTGTGGAGAGACTGTGTCAGTGTTGTGTGTGAAGAGACTGTGTCAGTGTTGTGTGTGTGGAGAGACTGTGTCAGTGTTGTGTGTGGAGAGACTGTGTCAGTGTTGTGTGTGGAGAGCCTGTGTCAGTGTTGTGTGTGAAGAGACTGTGTCAGTGTTGTGTGTGTGGAGAGACTGTGTCAGTGTTGTGTGAGTGAAGAGACTGTGTCAGTGTTGTGTGTGTGGAGAGACTGTGTCAGTGTTGTGTGTGTGAAGAGACTGTGTCAGTGTTGTGTGTGTGATGTGCTGGACATGTTGGACTGTGTTCTCTGCTGCAGGTACAAATGGCTGGAGATTGTGTTCTACATGGGTATCGGGATACTTCCAGCTTCAGCAGTATTTCTCATGGTAAGTCAGCACACTGAACTGGATTTCATTGTGTCATATTTCTTATTATTGAAGGATGGTGGGGTAGCCTAGTGGTTAAAGCATCCACTTGTCACTCCGGATTCCAGTCCAATGTATGAAGCCCATTTCTGGTGTCCCTGCTGGAATATTGCTGAATATTGCTAAAAGCAGCATAAAACCATACTCATTCACTCACTCACTCACTCACCCTAACTATTGGACATAGTGGTAATTTGATAAAAATAGTTTATTTTGTTGAGAAATGCTGTTATCAAAGTCCAACACTTAGCTAACCATACCGAAATGTCTTTAGATTTTGCTTACCAAATTAGAATGTTTGTGAAAGAAATTTATCCATCAAGTGTCTTATGCAGACCAGATATTTGGGGCAAACTAGTTCTCTAACCAAAAAGTCTTGTTGAAAATGAAGTGAATAATTATCTCCCTTGGTTCAGTTGAAAACGCTACACAGAAACATTTCCTCTTATGCATCAGGACACACGTTTTGTGAATCATCGAAAACTTCTTTTTCCTTGCTTAACTTTTTGAAATAATAACAATTGAACTGAATGTCTTTAAATGTATTCTGCAAAGGAAACAGAAAGTAGCATGGAAACACAGAATTCACATATGCTTGTCTCACTTTTTCGCTCTCTTGTACCGAGAATTTAGAAACCTCAGCTCTGATTGGATGATTAGAACTGATGTGACCTCCGATGGAGGTGTTCTGAGATCTTCACACAAAAAGGTTTCATATCCGAGTAAAAGATCTGACTATAATTATATATAATGCAGATCCCCCGTTAAGATCCAGGTTGGAAAAGATCTTTTGTAATCCATGCTTGCTTAATCATAATAAGGCAACTAATGGGGTCGGATGGTCAGGTTCGCTGACTTGGTTGATGCATGTCACCATATCCCAATTGCATAGATCAATGCTCTCAATGTCAACCACGAGAATGTCTGGTCCAGACTTGATTATTTTACAGAGCGCTATCATATAACTGGAATATTGCTGAGTGTGGTGTTAAATGACTAACAAACAAAGCGGATGGTTCCTCGGATAGCCTAAAATCTGATGAGCATCCCTGCACCTGCCTCTGGACCAATGTCTGCACTGTATTTTCTGATCTCTCAACAGGAAGAGTGCTCCGGCATCTACGAGCTGCTCATCGGTGGGAGTATGTACGTATGTGGAGTGGTATTCTTTAAAAGTGACGGCGTTATCCCTTTCGCCCATGCCATCTGGCACTGCTTCGTGTTTGTTGGTGCACTGCTCCATTTCTATGCTGTATGCACGTATCTCCTGGGTGCAGGCGCGATCCATGCTGGAGGTCAGAACACCACGCCACATGATGAACTTTGATGTTACATACGCTCCCCTTCGGCATCCACCGATTCCAATATCAGCACCAAGATGAAACATCAGAACAAGATTAAATGGGGTTAGATATTTACACCAATGTTAAATACTGGGGCTTTATCAAAAATATTTTATACCAGACTAAAATTCATTAACTTCTGACGATTTTCTTGGTCGATATGCCAATAAGATCGAGGCATAATAGAATACATATAAAATGTTTGAGAAGCGTTTGCTATCAGTCAAATCCAACATTTAATGTTACACATGCATTTTACCAGACACCTATCTGCCATCTTTGTTGATTCTAAAATATAGCTGCACATGACAGCGGTACTGTTTTAAAAATTGGGCAATAAAGCTCAAAATAAGAATAAAGTATGACTTCGCTTGCATTTATATGATTTAAGGTGATTAAACCTCGACTTTGAAAATCAAAGCATTTCATAAACAATATACTTGAAAACAGAAGTTCCATAATGGCAACCTCATCAGTGACATCCATTTAAAAAAACTATTAAATATACTGACAAAAGTGGTTATTTCAAGTTGTTGGGTTGTGGGCAATGCCCCCATATCCCCTGCTAAAAATGGTGTCTGAAGAACTTAAATATTTACACTCAGGAAGGATCTCGTGCACATCATTTACCAAACTGTCAAAAGGTGTCTAGTAAAATGTATTCTTTATATTTGGTTGGCTAGGTTCGTCCTTAACACACTGGCCGGGCGATTACACGATTCTGAAATTTAACACGTCACAAATGTTATATTTGGGATAGCACTTTCTTTGTAAAGTAAAGATTCTCGTACTTTTTAGGCATTGTGTGTCAAAGGTCAAAGGTTTAAGTAAACTTGAAAACATTCTGACTCCGGATTCTCTAGTGTTACAGGAAATACTCAATAGAGAAATGGTAGATTCCACTTTCTACTTACGGACTATATTTCAACTACCTCTTTATTTTTTCGGGTTAATCAATCCCATCCCATGACAAGCTTTAGCAAATATATTGTGATCTACTTTAACGTTGGACAGTCCTAGTTTTAACTCCAGAGTTTGTTTTTTTATGTCACATGGTGTAAAAAAATAAGTGCACAAGCTGAACAATCTCATTAAAATCAGATCTTAGTTTTTGCTACCGCTAAGCAAAGATCTGAGGACATCCCATTACGGGTCACGTCAGAACGACCTTTCGCGAATTTTGACCGACCAATGAAATGACTGATAGAAATCGACACAAGCCAATCAGAAGACAGCTTTCTCGAGCCTTATGACACTAGTTTCAAACTGGCGACCAAGCTTCGAAACATATTTTGACGTATTCTCGATTAAAAATTATAAAACTGATAAAAAGAACATTCTGGAATATCTTATAGATGGCCTAGATTGTATGGATATAATCATAAAACCTGTAACTGTCGTTCGGAATACCCCGTGTTAAATATTTTGAGGTTTCATGATTAGAAAACACATTCCGAATGTCACTTTCAGGATCTGGTAAGCAACGCTCTGATTGTTTGGATGAAAGGTCGTTCTGACGTAACCCGTAATGGGATGTCCTCAGATCTTTGTTTAGTGATAGCGAGGACTAAGATCTGATTTTAATGAGATCGACAAGTTGAATAAACAAAGAAATGTTGTTTGTTTCTGTGACGTGATGTTCGAGAGTTGCACCCGTGAATTGTGATATATATGAAGTTGCAACTCGCTTGATGCATTGAAAATGTGCTTAATTTTCAAACAAACATACTAACAAGGTAATGAGATAGGCATCATGACTTAACGTCCCACAAGTGAAAAACCTTGATAACTTTGTTGTCTGAGGTAGACATGTTCGACATTTATACTTTTTACCGAGTTCTATACACACAGTATACTACAAGTATAACTGTATTCCATGTTAACATGACAGTAATGTTTCGTTGTTTGTTCTCCAGCTCTACCCTTCATCCTCTATACCGCAGCATATATCTGTGATATTTTATTGCAACATTGCTAAGTTTATTTGGGGCAGATATTTTTAGCTACAGGGCAAATTTCGTTTACGTTTATTGATGATCTGTTGTGTTGGCTTCACCCACTAGTACTTCTGTCATGAACAGTGAAATATACATGATAGTTTTTTATAATTTTTTCATAAGAGAACATTTTTTGTTCCGAGAGGAAAATGGCTTTTTTGTCTTTATTTAAAAGAAATCAGACAAACAGATGTGTTTTCATGTTCTGGGTTATTTTTAATTTTTATTCAAATATGAAATTACTACAGAGAAGTACACATGATTTGGTAATATTCTTATCAAAATGTTATCACATTACAGAAGTTCATCTTTAATGGTGCTCTTTCCAAGGTCCCGGGTAGAATTATTAATTTTTCATTACATAATAATGATTAAAGTGCTATGAATTAAGAATATCAAATCTTCGCTGCCAATAACGTTTTGGTGTCTAAAGTTTCAAAATACTGTATTGGACGTTATAAGTGCCCTGCTTCAATAAGCGCCCATGGCGATATTTGCTAATATATTGGCTAGTGAACAATTCCAGTTAGCACCCTTCCGATTGATCAATGTTCACACAACTTATTTATTTGTATATAACACGCACTCGTGTGTTATATGCTCCCTTAATTATGAGCGATTAATTTCTGGAAAATATATCTGTCGTGTATGATACGCACATACTGATGTTTTGTATCATTTCAGGCTGTCAGCATAAACTACAAATTTTACGATCTTTCAACTCTGGGTTTTTTTCTCACCAAAATTATTTTCCAATAAGAGCCCCCTATTTCTAATTTTGAGAAAGCCCCGGGTGCTTATTACGTCGAATACAGTAACTCATGTCTATGATGCATAGCATACATGAGTGTTAGTTTTCTACAAGTATGAATACACTATGTTCCTCCATATCCCGTGAATACATACGGCCGATATGAGATGTAGTGGTCACGTGTCTATTTTTAGTCAGCCAATGAAATGAGGCCAAGTACAACTCACTGAAGTCAAATGAGGCCAAATCAATGCATGAACCTTTTAGAAACATATATGATAGGTACGGCAAGGTCAGGAGTGAAATGATACAGCAAGGTCATGATATGATACGTATCACGATACATAGTCATGATACGTATCTCGATACACAGGTCATGATACCTATCGCGATACATAGGTCATACATATCGCGATACATAGGTCATGATACTATTGTGATACATAGGTCATGATACTATCGTGATACATAGTCATGATACTATCGTGATACATAGGTCATGATACGTATCTCGATACACAGGTCATGATACCTATCACGATACATAGGTCATACATATCGCAATACATAGGTCATGATACATAGGTCATGATACTATCATGATACATAGTCATGATACTATCGTGATACATAGGTCATGATACTATCGTGATTCATAGTCATGATACTATCGTGATACACAGGTCATGATACATATCATGATACATTGGTCATACATATCGCGATACATAGTCATGATACATATGATACATAGGTCATGAAACGTATCATGATACGCATATTCACGTCAGATTGCATGCAAACTTCTTGACTTAATAGTTCAGAGCAGGTTCAAAAGGAAAAGCTAGCTTTAGACACATGTTTGTTGTGGCTATTTTTAGTAGCGAACTTGAAACGCTAATTACAATAGATGTTGTGATATTTGACAGACGAAAATGTTGGGGGAGGGGGGTCATTATACGACTAGTAAGTAATTTATAATGGCAAGTGTTTCATCTTCTATCGATACAGAAAACAACATAACGTATTCGACGTAATAAGCGCCCAGGGCGCTCTCAAAATTAGAAATAGTGGGCTCTTAAAAGAGTTAAAAGATAAATTTTGTGGTTTATGCTGACAGCCTGAAATGTCTATATACGAGAGATACATTTGTCCAGAATTTAACTGCCCATAATTAAGGGTGCATATAACACACGAGTGCGTATTATACGGGAATAAATAAGTCTTGTGTACATTGATCAATCGGAAGGGGTGCTAATTGGTATTGTTCACCAGCCAGTATATTAGCAAATATCATCGTAGGCCCTTATTAGAGCAGGGCGCTTATTACGTCGAATACGGTATTGTGTATCATATTAATGCATGAAAACTCACGATGCACCAGTGTATAGTTTTACCCCTAACAGATGATGGAAGACGATAAGCAGACATATATATTGCTGTTAACATTGTCAGTATATAGTTCACCATGTTGAAATGCTCAGAATAGACTAGTGCTTTATGTATAGTTACATAGTATTTTACACCTGACACATAACATCAGGTACTATTCCCCTATTGGGTCTTCATACCTAGCTTTATAGACAGATGTATTTTTGACAATTACATTTAAATGATGATGTCATCGAAAATTTACATGCAGTTACATTTTTCTTGTGCTCATTAAAAGATGCCATTTTTATGTCTTATAGTGTTTGTATACCTATAGTATTTTAGCTTTAAAAAATGGATATTTTCTATTGTTGAATATAAGAACTATTTTGTCTTTGTATTATTTGTATCTGAATGTATTTCAATTTACCCTTTTCAATTTGAAGAGGAATATGTGGGTTAAGAAAACTTGTTTTATAATGGAATCCACCAAGAACCCTTCATGCAGGACCTTTGTAGGTTGTTATATGGTTACAGTGTGCCAAGAAACTGCCGGTCCACTAGACCATGGCTAGCAAAATTTCGATCAGGCTAAAGATTCTGATATGTCCATATCCTGACTGACTCCTGACTGACTCCTGACATTTTAACTGTGGGTTTTTTGTGCACAGTTCTCTCATTTCTGTAGATCGGTACCTCCATCCAAAATAACAAAATAATTGTATTTTATACCTATTTCTCACACTGGTTACAGCTAAGATGTATTACAGTTGATGCACATTGGGATGTACTGTAAATCTTGAAATTAACCTGAGTGTGAACTAAATGCGCAAAATGCAAGTGGTCTTTGCTCGCATTGATAAACTTCACATGTATGTCTCAAAAAGGATTATCAACAATAAGACGGCTTCACTTCAAACTGTGATAGACGAAATACCAACTTGATTATAAACACAAACATGGTTTATTGAGAAGCAGTTGTAACAAGTATATAACAATGTCATTCAAAGAATAGGAATTACACAATGGCCATCCGGTGAGTTATCACTGCTGGGGTCAAAAGTTCTACCCACTCATGTCAAATTTGTTGACACCTTCAACGCATACCAATCAGTGAACTGTTGTTGGTTCAATTATTTTATTGCCTACGAACTTCCTTAATGCCAGTCAACAGAGTAAACATATAAACCTGTGTTGTTTTTATGAAAACACTGTTTATTGTTTTTACGGATGTTCACTACTCTGCAGTAGTAAGCGGCACTATTTGCTGTGGATTGGATTAAGGTAAGGTTGGATTAAGGTAAGGTTGGATTAAGGTAAGGTTGGATTAAGGTAAGGTTGGATTAAGGTAAGGTTGGATTAAGGTAAGGTTGGATTAAGGTAAGGTTGGATTAAGGTAAGGTTGGATTAAGGTAAGGTTGGATTAAGGTAAGGATGGATTAAGGTAAGGTTGGATTAAGGTAAGGTTGGATTAAGGTAAGGATGGATTAAGGTAAGGTTGGATTAAGGTAAGGTTGGATTAAGGTAAGGTTGGATTAAGGTAAGGTTGGATTAAGGTAAGGTTGGATTAAGGTAAGGTTGGATTAAGGTAAGGATATGTATCATTCCACTGGGGATGGAGTGGGGTGAGTTGCATTGATATGGAGTCTCATTTTGGGCTTTGGGTTGGCAGTCGTATTAATTTCCAGATTTACAGTATACATTCTGTATCAAGTCTTCTTTCTTTAAACCATGGTCAGCAATTTATTGATAGGAGCTGAAGGTATGGGCCTCATATAAAATATCTAAATAGATTATATGTACATGAAGCCCCGTGGAGATCTTGGGTAAATAGATCTTCAGCCACCCATGCTTGCCATAAAAGGCGACTATGATTGTCGAAAGAGGCAGGACAGGATCGGGTGGCCAGGCTCGTTGACTTGGTTGATGCATGGATAGTGTGGTTCAGACTCGATTATTTACAGACAGCCGTCATATAGCTGGAATTTTGCTGAGTGTGGCGTTAAACAA